CTCTTTTCCGCGTTTGAAATTTACTACCCACTTTTTCACAGTCGAATAACTCGGTGCATCATTTCCCAACGTCTGCTGCATATCCGCGTGGATATCTTTCGCACTTAGAAAAAGGTATCGAATCATGGCCTGGGGGTCAAATTTCTCTATGTCGACTGAGGGCTACTCACTCGCACTCGTAATGATTTGTTGAAAATGAACTGCTGAGAGTATTATCATGAAACTGTGTACATATAATCACAAAATGTTGAGGGGAACCACTACCTTTAATTTCCAGTCTAAAAATTGAAACGCGCTCACTTGCAAAAGTGCTCCCTCTCGTCGCTATAAAAAAATATGTATCAATGAATTACGGCCTAAGAGCTCCTTCCATAAAGTGTAGTACCAAGTAGATCATCAAGTACTGGTCAGTACTTAATATCTCTATCTCAGAAACGGCAAGATCGATCGTAAAACCACGAGATCAACCCAAAGAGATTTTCATGACAAGCCAATGCACCAAGTGGCTCTTCCTAAATTGGACACTTTTTCATGCAAATCTAGCAAAACTTGTGTGCTAGAGGGTCCCATTATTACGGTCTGGTTACATTCTCTAAAACCAGGTGGCGAATGTGCCCCAAGCGATCGAGGAATAGGCGTTGTGAATGAGGCCCGACCATAGAGTGTATATATAACGATATTAAATTATATATTGAATATATAGTATATTACAGATGTCTGGAGAGGCCTTTGCTGCCTCGAGAGCTACAAGTGCTTCCGCCATCTTGGGAAGGCCTCACACGTGGGAATGAATAGCGTGATTGGTTGGGTCCCAGCATGGAGGCCCGTAGGCATTTAACTCGGGGCATGTTGCCTCTTTTGCTTCTTTTTTTTCCTGGAGAAAAAAACTGCAGCTAATATGTGCAAAGAAGGGGTGCATTGTTTACACGGGAATAGGAAAACTTGAACTCTGTTCTTTCGATCTGTCACATAGAAGAAATTCCAAATTTGTCTTTGCTCCAACTCATGCATCCTCAAAGCGTGTGCTTCACATTCGTTTCCGCGAGAGGGACACCAGCTAGGGCAGTACCCTTTTCAAGTTCATCGCGACCCTTCTATATATCCTATATACGACACTGTCGATGTTGGAATATTCAAATCACGTGCTACCAAATGTATCTTTCAACGAAGGCCTAGTCCACACCATAAACTTTTCTTGCATATATGACTATATAATGTTGCAAAATAAGATTTTTGAAAGAAACCTCTTGAAGGAATCTCCCAGAGCATTGAAAATATGGCATAGAAAACTTTCTGGCGTGGATGAAGCCTAAGTCTGATAACTTCAAAACTTGCAATTCCTCCTACAGTGCGGGATCACTACGAGAACACTTACTCAATACGGGAGGTAAGAAACTTCTCGTGCCTCTAATGGCAAGAACAGATTAGACCGAGAGAGGATGCGTGATATGACAATGAAGCATGAAAGTCTCAATGAAGAGAGCGCTCCTCATAACTCGATTCCAGGAAATTGTGGAGATCCAACGTTTTCCCTTATTTATTTATTTATTTTAAATACAAGGGTGAGGAAAGTGAAGACGTGGGGAAAAGACAGGGAAGTCTATTCTTTCCTGTTGTACCATATGTATTTTGCTGGAAAGTCCCGATTAACGGGTGAGAATGGCTCAGGGGATGAGAAAACTCTTCCGGATAAACGAAAAATACGGATAACGACGTCCGGATTACAAGGATAATTTTATTATTGGTTCTATGGGACTTCTGCCGGGAACATTCTTCATGTCCGAATTAACGGAAGATCCGGATTGCTGGCGTTCGGATTAGCGAGAGTTGACTTTTTTTTCTGCCCCAATCATCAACCCAGTCAGGTCTCATCGATGGGCAAATGGGAGAAAGCAAAACTGCAAACAAAGGTCAGCGTGGAAACCGAAGCAGAAACCCTCGTATCAGGGATTCAATAACTTCATAGTTTGTTGTTGCTTCATAGGTTCATGTAGGCCGTTGTACTGAAAGAGACGCCAAAATCTCTTTCCTGTAGATCCTGGAGATCTAACTATTGACAGACCCTGTCCGCATGCAAACAAAAATGTTCTGACGCTCATGAGGAAGTTTCCCTTGGAGTCCCTTTCCATACGATGAGCCATCTTGGAGGCTATTAACCTCTTTCTTAGAGGATGTTCTTTTGTGCGTGCTAGGCAGAAAACTTGCTCTGACTTAATCAGATATGACACCTACCGTAAAGGAGGTTCATGGGTTGCAAAAATATTATTTCTATCGGAGTGAATCCGGAGGGGAAAGAGGGGCGGGGAGACATTATGCGACATGTATGAAGTCCCTTCGCCCTAGCTCAATTTTCAGGAAGGGTAGGACTCCCCCTTAACAGGTTGCCACGGCTATCTTGAGCTGATGACGTCCCTACGCCAAAGTCATTTTTATATCCCTAGGAGACTCCTTAGTAACATACTTTGATCATCCAATACTATTTGCACTTTTAAGTGATCTTTTGCAGACTTTTCGACTAAATTTTGTTTGTATATTTATATTAATTGTCTGTAATGTAAAATGTGTATTTATTGTTACAGGTTTGAGGATATCACTGAACCCTTAAGATGTCATACCTAAGTAACCAGCAAAAATTTTTTATTCATGTGTTATTTTTATATCAAGAAACTTTTAGACTTAAAAGTGCGAAGTTACTATTGGGCCACCCTGTACAGTACGTAAACGACACTCCCCTTGCTTATCCCCTTCCTACTTAGGCCGAGAACTTTTCAGCCACTGCTCGTTTATTTGTTAATGTAAGAGCTACTGTTTGTGAAGAAAAGCTTCGTTTGGTCTAAGATCCAGGAATCTGTCTCGAACATGGGAATAATAAATGAGGAAGTGTGCGCTTATATTACTACCTATAATGAGGCAAGGCGAGACACCGGATGAAGTGACATAACATACCTGTGAGGAAGATTCCTGGGAAAGAGGAAAGGAGCTATTCTACGTACTGTGGGAAACGGTAGCTCCATAACTTCATCTAGTGGTCTAAATAACCCTTTGAGATTACGTTGTACTGGCATTTAAAAAAACTTTTTTAAAATTTTATTTCCAAAAAGATATACCCCGAACCCATTTTGCTAACAGTGCAAGCCAGGGTCGTTGGGAGGGGGCGCATGGATGAAATAACTGCTACTGTTAGAGATAAATGACAGGAAGAGAGGAAAAATGGTCTATTTTAAAAATTTCCCGAGATAGTTGAAAGTTGGTCTAATACGCAGGGACCCTATTTTCATTCGTTGAAGATAGTTGTTCGAGGGTTTTATGAAAGAGAGAAACAGGCTCATCTCCAGGGTGGGTCATGAGTCCCATGTCGTTTAGAGTTTATGCAAATATACGATCAATGACAGTCCAACAACCTGATACATATGGCCCACCTTGCACATGTACTACTTTCTCTCACTTTAAAAAAAGACGATCACTAAAATATATTATTTCTCTAGAGCAGGAAAAAACTTTTTTTTTAATAGAAAGGTCATTTTCCATTCAGTGTTTCATACATATAACCTCAGAATGGATATATACAGGGTGGGTCAAAAGTCACTGAACAACTTTGAACACATATAACTAGGCAAGGAAGGCATTATTTTGCAAACGGTTTTTTGCACAGGAAAGAGCGTGCCCTAATGAACGAATATGCAACATTTCAAAGAAATCATTTATTTATTTGTCGTAAAAATGACTGAAATTACTGGCCATGATATCATGCACCATCAAATTCAATCAAGCGAGCCGTCACCGAAAGGCAACTCCTGCAATCTTCTCAGTGATGCTTTGCTTCAGTTCATTGATCATGCGCGAATTTTTGGCACATACATCGTCTATAAATGAAACCTCACAACCAGAAGTCGAGTGGAGTCAGGTCCGGCGAACTGTGAGGCCATTCGATAGGCCTGACCCGGCCTATCCACCTGTCTTCAAAGCAAAACGACGCTTCATTTAGGAAAGACTTCCTTCACAGATAGAGAAGAAATTAACGATGGCGACGCGTTCCTCCAGAGAATGTTCATCGGCATTATCAGAAAACAATTTGGACCAGCAAAAATTAACAGAAAATAACCGCGATTGGGTCCGTTGTACCCTAAACATCACTTTTATGCTGAAAAATGTTGTTTTTCATTTTGTGAAGGCTCATCCCATTTCTTAGTATTTCATCCAAATTTCTATGTTCTTTCGTCGATTAACGCACGCTCTTTCATACGCAAAAGAAACCGTTTGCAAATTAATGCCCTCCTTGCTGTATTATAGCTGTTAAAAGTAGTCCAGTGACTTTTGATTCACCCTGTATTTATATCTGTTCTCATGGATACTTGTGTATCTACGCGCAAGATTCATGAAACTCTCCAGTGTTTAACCCTCTCAATCGAAAAGGATAATAAAGAATTCATTGCATTCATGATAAACGTCCAATTAGCCCTTTTAAATGGTGATTCACAGTCGTCTGTAATTTTTTTTAACGATTTATCCTTCAAAAGTTTAAACCCTGAACCCTTTCTGCTAACAGTGTAGCATCTTGAGCGCTACCAGGCATACTCCGCTGATATTCCTATTCAGGATGGTGTCCAAGTATTGAAACAGAGATTCACCGCTTTGACGCAGAAACTAAACGCCAAAACCCGTCAGTGGAATCATCCGGAATGACCACCTCTTCGGTGACTATTACAAAGAGTTCTTGAAAATTGTGCTGGAGATGGGTAAATTGAAAGTTCAAGTATCTGCAGTATTTGCAGTAAAATACAAAGTTATTTGTTTCTTTGCGTTGCTCTTTTACTATTTACTCTTGACACTCCTAATGCTGCAAATGTCTAATCTCTGCGATCTTCAAGTGTGCAGGTTTTTATTAATCTGTTAATTTATCGATCGAAGATTATTGAAGAAATGCAAAACGAGATGCTTTCTCACGTGGGGTATTATCGCTCGCAATACATATTTTTACACTTATGTCACGATGCAAAATGTCAACAGTGCGATGGGAAGACGAAGAGAAAGACCTGGAAACTGTTGCGGAGTCCATAAGAGCATGGACGGTCGATGCACTGGAAGGCTTCGCTGTCTAGGATGTTCGTGGCGTTCCAGTCCAATTCAGAAACGAGTCCAGAAGCATCTCGAACGGCCACTGCGCTCAACATGATGGAATATGCCAAGTAGGAGAAGAAGGTGGTGAAAATGGCTGCTAGTGTCCCCAACGGGATCGCATGCGAAGGGTCCTGTTGAGACACATACCTCAGCAATGTGTCTAAGAGAAAGGCAATGAATAAAGCATACCTTGAGGTCGCCAGACATGTTGGCCCCGGCCACGATCCCTGTCACGGCAGGAAAGAACACGGAGTAGATGGAGAAAAAATCCTGGTCCTTCCCTTCGTAGCTGGAATATTGGGCTCCCCAGTTCCTCTTCAACACTTCCCCTTCGTTTGTAAAATAGCAACAGGATACAAAGCAAGAAGGGGGGGGGGGGGAAACTTAGCTTGAAAATTTTTTTTTTAAATAAACGTGAACCGGGACGGACATACACAGACAAGGGCTAATGCCACAAGCGACAACACAAAGTAGAGGAAAGGGAATTCTAATCGGACATCCCTCACGGCATTGCCGCACCTTCTCACACTTCCTGCCACAACGTATCCCGTTTTTTTACGGGCCTGGAGAAGGTGATGGCAACTTCGATGCCGCTCTGGCTACACATCGGGCCGCCAGGGCCGATGTGCGGGTGCTATTGAGGTGCACCAGGCTCCTACCTCTCACACAATGGAGCACAGAGTGGCCTATGCTTCAGCCCGTGGAAGAGCAGGTAGTCCCCGATAGCAGCCGGGTGAACTGTCGGCCAAGGAGAATACCGCCTGTCGCCGGTCGGATTCGAACCTGGACCTCCCACGTGCCACTTATCCACTGGGCCACGGTGACGCGGTCAGCTTGCGAAATTTTACCTCGACAAAGGTTTTGTAATATCTTGCGATCTAGTTCGAAGCAAGATCGATGTCATTTTATGTTAAATGCACAAAAATACAAAAAAACCAAAAATGTGACTTTTCTTACGTCGATTTCAGATCATTAGTATATTGCAACACATCATGTTGCTTTCTGAATACCCAGTGAAATCACCAAGCGAAACGGATATTTCTTTTCCATCTGCTCTTGCATTTCAAAGCCTCCAATGTGAAAAAAGGCTTTTGATCACGGGTCTCCTTAGCCCTTACTTGGCCAAGGAACAAGGGGGGAGGTCATTATGACCCAATGACCCACAACTCATACTTATGTTGTTTATATATACTAAACTATTAAAAACATATCTGAAAATATATTCCAATTGTCATTTGGAACCTATTTGAACATTTCCCAGAGTGATATTGCCATTTTGAACTAATATGCTTTTTTCGTTGTCGGCCAAAAAAAAAGACCTTCCTTCTCCCCATGGCGAAGTGTGTGACGAAATTTTTTGGCTCTTTTGACATTTTCCGGTGCTTTTTAGACTTACTCTGAGCATCGAGCACTGCTGCAGGAACGCACTGCACCGGTTTCACACATCCAACATACACTAAATTGCCAAAAGCATTGGGACAAAGGAGGATATGACAACCATCATTCCATATTCAAACTCCGACAATTCCGATCCACGCGTCTTAATGGCAAACATTGACTGTAAGAGATTGCAGATTAATTCTACATACTTTCGGACTACCATAATGCCCTCTACCATATGACCTCTGGGACAATCTGTTACCGGCGGAGGGAGGCTTGTCTCAATACCTTTGGTAATACATATAGTGTATATGTGTGCTTTTCAGCAGATGGAGCGTGCAGTGTGGTGTTAATGAGATGAGTTTAAGCCGTGAGGCTAGTAACTAACAAATGTGACATCATGTCTTGCAAGATTTCCTTAGTTCGACCAACACCCACAGATTCCGAAAAAGGCCCTACACACTAAGGATTTAAGCAGCATCATGCCCCGGACGAGGACCCTGATGAAGTTCTAGGGTTTCAAGGGCTCCATTCGCTATATTTTCCCTTTATAAATTTCGTCTTCCTCTCCCTCTCTCAAAATGATTTGAAGACTAACAGAAACTTCACAGTAGGTCAGATACAGCTTCCACGACACTACTTGAACAGGAGCTTGAACCACGACTCAAAAAGCAGATAATTATATCCAGTGGCGTATTTTACAGGGGTACAGGGGGCAGCCGCCCCCCTTGACGCCCCTGGGAAAGAGCCTGGCGCCCCCTTGGATGCAATAATTTCCCAATCTGATATCGCTCGGGTGGGGTTTGGCGCCCCCGCTTTGTTGCTTGTCTCCCCCCTGACCCTTCAGCCAAAATACGCCACTGGTTATATCCGTCTACTTATGGGTATAAAGACAATGAAGTGCAGAGCTTGGTGAGATCGCTCCCAGCCCAAGGTCCAAACAATGCAAAGCTAGGAGCGAAGGAATCCACTATCGGCAGGGCCGGATTAACTCATAGGCTAATAAGGCTATAGCTTTTGGCCCTCATATTTTTAGGCCCTAATATAGGCCCTCCATTCCATTTTTTTTTTTTGCTTGAGTGTTTTGCAGGAGTTCGGAGGAGAAGGATGTCCTTGAAGGATAAGCCTCGCTGTGGACAGCTACAAGTTGTAGTGACAGATGAAAATGCGGCCATTTCACGGAAGATGGTCGAAGAGGATAATCACATTACATGTGAGGGCATTCAGGCACCATTTGAAGTTGGGACAGTAGCAGTGAATGAGATCCTGCTCTGTCTGAGCAGGATCTCTGTCTGAGCCTGGTCTGAGGAGGGTCAGCAGCCGAGGGGTCCTACATGATCTCACCCCAAGTCAAAAGCAGGCCAGGGAGGAATGGTGTGAATTCGTGCTTCAGAAGCTCAACTATAGGTCTTCAAAAGCCGTGTATGACACTGATGAAACCTGTATATTTCAATTTGATCCAGAAACAGAGTACCAATCCACCGTCTGGCCCTTCCCATGTGACCCAATCCCAACCAAGGTGAAGCGGCCCAGAAGTGTGGGAAGGCGAATAGTGGCTAGTTTCTTCTCCTTCACTGGTCACATAGCCACCGTACCTGTTCAGGGTCAAAAGAGTGTGACCTCGACTAGGCGCACAGATTCCTACCTCCCATAGGTCAAACTCTTCATTAGAAATCATGGATGCTCTATCATGACAACGCGTCCAGTCATATAGCCGCCCTCACTATGGATTTCTTGCATGCGTCTGGCATCAGGGTGCTCCCACACTCACCCTAAAGACCAGACTTGGCCTCATGTGACTTATTTCTCTCTCCAAGTGTTAAAGATTCGCTACGTGGACGGCATCGAAAACGTCGTCCACGTCCACGCCTCAAGAAGAGGCAGTTGCATAGTTTATTTCAGTTATCTCGGGTACCCAACATAAAATATGAGTGGAAATACTGCCTTAAAAAATGGTTTACAAGGATGAGAAATTGCATCAATGCTCAGGGAGACTACTCCGAAAAGGTTTGATGATTGAACAAAACCAAGTTCTTTTCTGTTGTCCGCATCCGGAAAATTTCAGTGACTCTTGTAACAGCCAGCCGACCTCTATTTAAAAAAAAGTATACGCTTCGGGAAGATCCGTAACCTGAAGACCCCTCTACGTACCAGGCTCTGACAAAAGAACAGAAGAAAGGGAAAATTCTGCTTCACTGCGGAGTACTCCCATATGTGTTGCATTTCGAGCTTGTTCGTGTGAAGTAACCTGTACCAACTCTGAACCAATAAATATACATATATCATGCCCCTATAAGAAAAGCAGGAAACTATAGGAAAGAGAAGCAAAAGTAAACAGGATATCAGAACGGCGGAGAGTAAAAAAAGAGTGAAGCACGGGGCACAACAAATCTGCCTATGCCAAACTACTCAACTCCATCTCCGAGGAGTGGGACAGCTAAGGTGGCTGAGTCAACAGGTCCTCGTACAAAACTCAAGCTTTGGCTGTATGGAGGAGATGTGGTCATAGGCCCTGGTCTCAGGATAGACTTTGAGTGGACATAACCATAGTCCAGGATCCCAGACTGTGGTAAGGAAACATCAGAGGAAAGGGAACGGAAGCTTGGCAAAGGCTTTGCCAAAATATTCAGCAAAAGTTAAATGGTTAGAGGAAAGTGGTTTTAAAAGTGGTTAAAGAAGCTCAACTTTCTCGAGAAGCAGGTTGCATGGCCAAAATATGAAAAAATCACGCTGCGCAATAGTGATTTTTAACTTAGCATAAAATTAGTTACCATGGAAACACAACATGTCGTGTTTCCTTCAGATCAAGGGGATTAAAACTGAGAAGAGTGGTACTAATGATCTTCAAAATCACTGGAGTGCGTTGGTTGGGGGTTTGAGGATCTCATGGCCAAAGAAAGGAACGTGAATACAGATCTCTTTCCCTACCTGTTTGGGAATCAATTGTTTCTTTTAAGGAGCCCTTAGATAGCAGTTCCTTATATCTAAAGAGGTTCCCTAACTATGGGTGTGACGTAAGTTAGGGCTGTGATTTTCTTTTAAAAATCTCATAGGTCACCAGTTGTTGAACCGGCAAAATATTATTCAGGACATGGTACCGGTCCGCGGACCGGCGGCTGCGAAACACTATGTTAGAGGACCCGACCCTGGATACCTAGGTGAGAAATATTAGAACAAGTGAAGAGAGAAATCGGGAAAGTCGAGATCCGATGCAGCATGCAGCACACTGGGAGGGATTGAAGGACACTAGGATGAGTAAGGAAATGCATTCTGTGGAAAAAACGGTAAAAAAAAATCCGATGCACACAAAATGGAAATGATGAATGAAGTCAAGCACCGGAGGCGAAGAGAAGAGGATTACGCATGAACTTACAACTATAGCCAATGAATCCCTTAGCAATCTCCTCGTTGCTTTTAGGTCCCATGATGGTGCCAACGATGAACGTCACCTGCGACAAGACCATACCTCCCAAGAAGATAAACTGAGCCTGGAAGACGGAAGATAGGACACCGACAGCTTCATGATCTGGATGCGCAAGAACGACAGCGAGAGTTAGGGAGATGGTCTTACCCGGTTCACCCATTGGATGCCAACGACAGCGATGAAGAGAAGGACGAGAAGAGATCCGCAGCCGATGATTCGCGTGTCGTTCACGGCCCCGTCGACTATTTTCGTCTGGAATTCTTCTCGAAGGAGATCCTCGAGTGCGTTGGCGAATCCGACGATGTGCATAGCCGTAGCGATGCTCAGCGCCACGGTGAACATGAGCCCGATGGAACCACCGAACTCAGGACCCAGGGAACGCGAGATCAGATAATACACTCCTCCTGTGCAGTAGATTCGGGGTGAAAACACAAATCGGAAATCGGATTCTGTCGATGGGTGTGGAGTCTTGACAGACCTCCTCGGATCCGTCCGTTAGTGCTCACAGCCGACAAGGACAAACCCGTGATGATCGTCACCACGTTGCACAGACATATGATCGCCAGCCCTTCACCTACACTCATTATGAGGAAAAATGAGATAAATAAAGAGGAACCGAATAAGACACACCATTAATTGTGGTAGACGAATAAGAATCCAATATTATTCTGACACCCCTCAAAATCGTTCTTACTTCGGAGTTTCATCATATCGGAGCTTCCTGCAACACTGCGCTTTTTTCTCATTCGATTACGAGATATGTCATCCACATTTTGGTGGCATGGAAACGCTGAATGTTGAACCCTACCAGCTGATGTGAACGCACAACAGACAGGCCAAGGTTTCCGGGGAAAAAACTGGTAAATGGGAAGCCACCAAGAAAAGTAGAGAGGAAAAGAAATGGAGGGAGAGCAGAATCTTATATGATACCAGGATAACCCATTCCAATTATTTCTACCGTCGCGACAATCTCGTTAAGGGGTTCAGCAAACCCTTAAAAAATACCACATAATAAAATTCTAAAGAAAGAAAAACCGAGTTACTGCGATACTGAAAATTATGTACAGTATATGAGTATATTCATCAATTTAACGATGACTAATTTCGATATTAAAAATCTAAGAAATTATAAATGTTTCTCAACAAATTTCTCAAATGTATTTTCTCCATAAATTACCAGAAAAAAATTGAAGTTACATGCACACACTCATAATCAAATGCAAAAAGTGTAACAAACTAGGGTCAGGGGCAACTGAAAAAGGCAAAACTCGCACCAAAAATATTACGAATGACGCATCTGCATGACATCGTACGCAAATCTTAGGTATACTGGAGTACACTAGAGAAGTGAAAATATAATACACTGCTTGTGGAAGATTACATGCGTTGTAACCTGGTAAAGATGGCTACCACCATTGAAGAGGCTATGGTACATTTTTTACGCGCAGATGGTGCGAAACCACTTTCATTCCATCACAGAATGGTTGCCGTTTGTGGTGAGACACGTTTCTCCTGGAGATGAGTATATGAATGGGGGTCATTCCAAACGGAACTCAACCGATATTAATATAAAATGATGCCCGGCCATCTTAGATTTTGCGATAAAAAAATTTATCACCGATTGCAGTCAATCTAACAGCACGTTAAAAAGAATCGCCTCCATCGGATCTGTGGTTAGCGAGATATCGCACTCTGAACTCAGTGGAGAAACGAAAAAACCGGTGCACAGCTATATTTCTATCTCATGAATCATTCATCTTAGGGCGGCGTGCAAAAGCTGGAACCGCAGTTCTTCAATAGGTACACAATTCGCTGCATACATCCTTGGAGCTTGAATGAGATTTCAGCATCATAGTGGAATTTGAAAATGGGAAATTTAGGTAAATTTTATCCCCAAATATCTCCATGCGGCAAGGGAAAAGTCAAATCTCTCAGTAAATTGCACTCCTCTTTCAGGTGCATCAATGAAGCAAGTTACCTGCTTTACTTTTTGATTTTACATAGAGGAAAATTTACTTCAAATTGTGAATTTTCTAATTTTGGGTCATCTTTGGTATTTTCCGATGTGGCGGAGCACTTACAGTCAAGGGCAGTGCCATTAGATAGATGAATTTAACTTCTTTCCAAAGCTATTATATGTCGGAAAGAACTTAAGTTGATATGTTGATATAATGTGTCTTTCGAATGAAATTTTTCTAATGCCCAAAGTTGCAAATTCCAAAATTTCACGTAATTTTTCTTCAAGTGGCTGAATATAGTTGTGGTGCATTGACGCGGAGGTTAGTCATGGTTCTGTGCAGGCAATCGTCAAAGATTGGCTCCAGTATTGTTTGGTATGTCCCAAACGAATACTGAAGTACCTGACCGGAAGACCAAAAGAATGCACGTATTGTTCTTTGTCTCACACATCTGCAACACTGCCCCGCCGAAGGGAAACAGCTTTTTGACCAGAATCGTAGCATGTAATGAAACCTGGGGCCGGTTTCTCGAAGCTAAATATTTTCTAACTCTTCTTAAACGGAGCCTTTAAGAAAAGAAAAAGAAAAGTCAGGCAGAACTGACTTAAGAAAAAGTTTAGATTTAGGTGTTTCGAAAAACACCACTTTCTAATCTAATTCTAAACTTTTTATATTCTGTCAGTTCTGCCTTTGAAAGGGTAATGAATCCTTTCATTCGGCACATTGATGCTCCAAGTTTCTGACTGACGGTTCCACTAGTGCGGCCGAGACTCCTAAATCGAGCTTTCAGTAAACCAACAGCTCTTTCGACGATGGAACGAGCTCTTGCCTGACAAGTGTTGTAGGCAAGCTCTTCCCTAGTCTTTGGATTGGTTAAAAGAGTCATCGGATAACTTCGCTGTGGGCATTCATAATCTCGCAGCAGCCAACCATCTCACGGAACTTCCTTCTGACGCAACTTCAATGTGAGATAGCTGCTCTAAAAAAATGAGACTGTCATGAGATCTGCCCGGATAGTCATCAACAAGACTCAGAATCTTCATTTTCCTATCGACAACGATTTCCACATGCAGAGAGTATAAGCCTTTTCTGTTCACGTAGTATTCCCTGTCCTTGGGTGGTTCATTATTTCTTTCTTATTATTTCTATGCACACACTTCCTTCAAAGAAACGGGAACACGAATAGCTGTGGGCTGCATTTACAGAATGACGTATTTTCTCATGGAAAAATGTGTGAAGTCTTAGCAATAGTTTGAAAAAGGGACTTCCTTAGAGTCCTTGAGCCCGAATATACGCGGTGTTAAAAAAAAATTGCCAAATCATTTTCGCTAATAATGAGAGTACTTTTTATCAGATCGAAGCGATTTTTTTTAACACTGTATGTGAATAGAGTAATGAAGGTAATTACCTAATTTTAAAAAAATTTGAGGTGCTGTATCAAGTTCTATGCCAATTCAAACTTTATAGGTAAGAAAGTGTGCCGTACAAGTCAGCTGATGCGTTCACCTCAGCCAATGAAGCGAAGGGAATTTGTGTATGCCTCAACAAAGAGGCAGAGGTCGGGCTGTTTTCCCTTCGTCATCTATTTTTGTACCGAAAATGTTGGCCAATTTGAAGGAAATTCATACCTGGTATTGGGCAAACATTTCGTTATTAGACTAGACGAAAGAAAACACCACGCCCTCTGCCTCTTTGGCTGTTTGGTAAGGCACGTACAGACTTTCGTTCATTTCGCTGGCTGAAGCGAAAGCACCAGCGGGCTTGTGTGGCACATTTTTTTACCTGTGAAGTTTGAACTAACATAGAACGTGATAAAATGCCTCAATTTTCTTTAAATTAGGTAATTATCTTCTTTACTTTACGAGGGGGAGTCAATAACTAAGATGAATTTACATGTTTCTCAGACATATGTACCCATTATGTACTCATTACTACATACCCTCAGCAATATTGTCACTGAAAGTCAGTTTTCAAAATGGCGGCCCCTCTGTCAGATTGCACCGCAGTTGAACAGCGAAGTGTCACTCGATTTTTAATATGGGGACAGTTGTTTATCATGAAAAATGGGTACAAGTGGTGTGAACTGTTCAGAAACGGTCGCACAAATGTAGTGGATGAACATCGACCTGGTAGACCGGTCGAGGCAGCAACACCTGATACAGTTCAACGAGCTAATGAACTTGCTCTGGAGGACCATCGCATCACTTTGGATGAAATTTGTGCTAAATTGAATGTTAGCCATGGGACAGTTCATGCCATAGTGCATGACAAGTTACTGTACTGCCAGGTGTGCGCCAGATGGATCCCAAAGCAGTAGACAGACAACCACAAAGAACAGCGCCTGTGCATTTGCCAAGAGTTGTTACAGCGGTACAATACTGAAGGAGACATGTTCCTAAAGCGCATTGTCACTACAGACGAAACGTGGGCACACCATTAAGTCCCCGAGAGCAAGAGGCAAAGCAAGCAATGGAAGCACACAAATTCTCCAACGGCAAAAAAAGTTCAAAATTCAATCATTTACCGAGAAGATAATGACTATATTTGGGGACTGGTAGGGTCTTAGAGTGGTGCATTTCCACGAAGACAAGCGTACAGTGACAAGTGCTTCCTACTGTGAACTTCTTCGCGGCACTGTGAAGTCAGTAATTCAGTCGAAGAGGCGCGGTGCCCTAACAACAGGAGTTATTCTGCAACAGGACAATGCTCGCCCCCATGTTGCCAAAGCAACACTGGAGTGCATCCAGGAGTTGAAATTTGACACCCTACCACATCAGCCATACAGTCCTGATCTTGGGCCTTCTGATTTTCACATGTTTGGGCCACTTAAAGATGCACTAAGGGGGCGCAAGTTCATTGATGATACAGACGTTCAAAATGCGGGGCATAATTGGCTATGCTCTTCACCAAAAACTTTATATCTGATGGAATCAAAAAGCTTGTCAGTCGCTGAAACAAATGCGTCGAGATAGTAGGTGATTACATTGAAAAATAGTGTATGTTCATGTTTCTGGAATGAACTGTTTTGATGCTATACTTAAATTCACCTTATTTATTGACTCCACTCGTATTTACAAGTATTGTTTAAAAAATTGCATCGATATGAAGAAAAGTCCTGTCATTATTAACGGAAATGATTTGGCACAGAATATTTTTTTTTAACTCCGTGTAGATATGAATATAATGATAAAACTCCCCATAGTCTATAAATATTTTTTGCATTAAAACGCTGAGGCAATGAACTTAAATGTCTGCCACTATATGTCTTTGGAGATTAATATGCAAATAAGGGTTTGACGACCGATGCAGGAATTAAATTCAATAAAGGAACGCTAAATGACACACTGAATTTTTACCGTCAATCCTCATGCTGGAAGTCATATGACGCCACTAAGAAATTTTTCTGAAGCAACTTCATTTTTAAGGTGCGAGCACCGAAGGCGCGAGAATTACCAAACCCATTAACCAAGGGGTTCGACCGCTTTATTAGGGGTACGCTTCGAAAACGAATGCTTTAAATGCATTAGTAATTTTCTTTTATCATAATGCGCCGAAGGCACGTCCATAGCGAGTCTGCTCGCTAGTACTCCGGATACTAGCGAACCCAGTCCCCCATCTAACCCCTCGTCGACCTACGTATTGAGAATGGCTGCGTGAATGAGGTGGCTATACCAGTTCGGTGCTGTAACTATAATTATGTTCAGTACTGCCATTTTCACCTTACTCTTTGATCCGCTCTCTTGGATATGATGACCTTTCGAATCACCGGGGTTCATCCTGGGATCATCGTGGGCTTACAACGAATAACTTGATGTGTCTTCGCAGGTAATTCTTACGTATCCAAGTCTCTTTTCTTGCTTGAGGGGAGGGGAAAGGAGTAATGAAGGGAATGGAGGGAACGAAGGTGCGGGTTTGTCACCTCACCACTCATATTTTTCTTTTCTTCTTTTTAAAGGAAACACTTGATTTCAGTCTGTTATCGAGGGACAGCTGCATTATGATCGTCGCACGATTTAGGTAGTTTCCAAGAATTTTATGAGTCTTTGTCTCCTGATGCATGCTCTTGAGGTAAATATCGATGAGAATTGAAAGCATGAGAGAATTCTGACCGAGTCCGGCTTGGCCAATCACCCAGGAGAGGCGGAGAAACAGCATCACGCTCCAAATGTTTAAAAGGCATCTCATCTGAAAGGGGAGAACGTCTATAAAGGAATATGGAATTTAGGTTCAGATTACGGGTAATCCTGGAGCACCTACATAGACTCCTTCAAACCAGCCCAGTCTCAGGGCGCCTTTCTTCTGGCCTTCCTCGGTCGGATTCTCTGCCTATGAAGAGAGAGATATTTGCCTAATTTCACGGCCAGAACCTGGCTTATCGTCCGATGAGGCCTTATATGAGCGGTTAGACCGGCATTCACCTGATTCGGTTCGAGAGAGGAACCTTGGTCTTGGATGAGGTCCTCGAGGGTAGGTCTTTTGTTGCAACCGGCCTGAATAGACATCACGTTCCGATAATGCCATTCCTTCGGGGCTGCTTCCCTATCTGTCGTCCAGCCATCATACTGGGTCAGGTATGTGTCCAGCGTCATGGCTGCAAAATCATACAAAATATGTATCCTGTTATTTGTCCTCTTTCAATTCCATTCTTGCATCTTATGCATGAAAAAAAAAACGAGGAAAGCGCAGAGAAAAGAAAAAGAAAGAGAGAGAGGTCAGGTTTCTTGCGTGGAAATATACCTTTTTCATGTGATTCTCAGGCCTTCCTGCAATGACGCTAACCCGCACCCCCTTAAAGATTCGTTATGCCTGGGATGATGGAAATAGGGAGAGCAAGCGGGCCAGCCGATGAGCTGAGGTAGAGCAGAACAGCTCCAACTGTCGACTTACTAGCCTGTCTGGGAGCTTCCGTTCCCCCTTTTTTCTGGCGTCTGTAAGCACAAGCCAGTTTCGATTCCATTCGTAATACATTCGCGTTAGCGCAACCGCGAAAGAGAGAGATGTGAAGAGGAACTTGCTCATTAATTCAAGATCGAATGGAAATTTCGGTTTGTCAGCTCGTCAAGGTAAGGGTCGTCCCTTCTCGTGTACTTTTGCACCACCAAACAATGGAGTCAGGTCTCGCACGTGTTGCGTTTGCTGAATATTTGGATGAACTTAGTGCCATCATCGGACTGGACAATGCATTCGTGTTGGACAATGCTCAAGTACACAAAAGAATCATTCCTCGATACCCAACCCACTCCATTCATTTCCTCCCTCCCCCCCTCCCCCCCTCCCTACAGTCCTTGGTTAAATCCATCGACGACACGTTCTCGCCCTTCGAAGCAGAAGTGTAGAAACGGATCGGTGCATTGCAGACCCTATTGGCTATCCCAGTTAGCAGTCGCAGCAGAGAAGACTCTTACGACATATCGATGCCAAATGAAAAACATCAAGAGTTCATTTGCAACGTGAATACGGATGCCTCATGCAGACATGCATACGAGCATTCTTGTCGATACGGCGTTGACCAGAAATCCCATTCGTGAATGAAGGCATTTCGCTTTTCGCTCTCCTGCCGTCTGGATTTTTACTTATTCTCGGGGTATGATTTGGCCTCGTAGTCTCTCGTGGTTTCTCTGTCTAGACTGTAGGAAGGTGAAACGAGACACAACGGCTTACACTCGCCCCTCCTCGTCCTGTTCTCCGTTCCTTCGCACCTGCGTGCTCCTTCGGGCATGCGGGTTGCCTGAATGGCAGGTATGCCTGAGAATCACCTGAAAATGGTATATTTGTATTTCCTTCATTTTCCTCTTGCCTTGCAATCGCATTCAACCAATTCTTATTTGAAATATAACCAGAAACTTTGAGGAATTTTCCACCGACCTCCAGAAGTCTCCTTTGGAATTCTATATTATATTACAACATACAATACTTTAATCGGACGAACGCGAAGGCTTTGCAATGACTTTGTGGCATTGCAACACATACTTGCTGCGACTCACGTTTTTGGGTGCATTCATTAGTCGCCGGGTGCTGGAGCACCATTCCCATTTGAGTGCTTACTCGCTTCACCCGGAATCGAGAGATGTCCCTGGCAGGGGCTGACCGACCTGTCTCCTCCATCTCGTCCTGCATCTACAGTGCGAAGGAATAGAAAGTAAAACAATTGAAAACTCAAAGGTCTCTCTCCCGAACTCACGTCTGTCCTTCCGATTCAGGAAATTCCTCATTGCCGTATATGAAACATTCATGCATGGCAGGGTATGAAAGCAATAACATTTCGTGAATGGAACGAAGGAACAAGATGGAATAAGCAATATTAAAACGTATGGATCTTCAATAAGAAAAGCAAATTTCCTCTTTCACGATGATGATCGAAAACAGAAGGGACATTTGTAGTGGCGCGTGCACCTATTCCATAGTGAAGAGGCCGCTTCACTTTCACTAGGGGATGGCAGGTTTTTCGAGTCACAAGGGATCACATGATGGAGAATCTAGTGCATACCTAATAGCAAGTTGCATCAATACAAAGAACCGGCAAGGACGATAGATTTCCTTAGACGGTAAGGAAAAGAAACAGATGCAACAGACAGTTCTGAGCAGCAACTCTCTGCATGAAATCAACGTTCTCACGACCCACACTGACATGCAGCACAAGCGGCATGATAGCCATTGCAGAGAAATTGTTGGGACAGGAACCGAAGATGGGTTCAGCGATAGACAAACACATAGACAAACGCATTTTGTCCGCGACATTGGCCTACGGCCATCAAAAGTTATATTAATAAATAAGTCCAGTGGGTTTTATACCAGTATATGCGTGAGTGCTTTTACGGTGTACCCACCCTCAAAGAATCACGAGAAAGTTAACTTTCTTTGTCGTTCGGAAATTCGTGCTAGTAGGGCTAGAGGAAGTTCATGACTTTTGTTGACCTCATTCATGAGAGAAAGGAGGCACAAGGAGAGAGGGAGGGATATTGCAATGCCTCCCTCCCAAATTCACCTTAGTGCGAAGCTATGCAGAGTGGCAGTACACAGGGAAATGGTGGTGGTGAATTTATTTGGGGTGCCTTGGTTCAGGTCGGGTATGCGAGACAAACTCCGACCTTACTACAATGTCCACCCCAACATTGCATAATTCAACTTGACTAGAAACCCATACAGCCGTTTTCAACCGAATTACAAAAATGTACAGTCTCAAAACGTGAATGGACTGTGCGTACAATTTTCCTTTCGAATGGTGAAAGTCGCAAAACCAGAGTTCAAAACGTACTCGAGGGGACGGATTTTAAGCTTAAAGGAGTCGGAATTTTTCTCACCTATCCTTTCTGACAATCACCGCACGACACTGAGTATGGAAGAATTCATATAACAAAAGCTAGTGTCAAGTTAGTTTGAAAGTTTAGAAAAAGAGAGAAGAAAAGTGAAAAGAGATGCCTCATGTGTAACCGTGGGAGACCGAAACATGAGGATGCGGAGGAGAGTGGGCTAGTCTTCTGACGCGTCATGCCACCAGGCTTTTCCCCGACATGCTTCTCTTTCCTTTTTTTTTCTCTACAGTTCTAAATCTTCAAAGACAATCCCAGAATCATGGAACAACGCTATCGTGATCCCCCTTCACAAGAAAGGGGACCGAGAAGACCTCAAGAGTTACAGACCCATCAGTCTATTACCTCTCCTGTACAAAGTGTTTACAAAAGTACTAACTAATCGCCTCCAAGGAGCCCTTGACTTCGCCCAACCGAGAGAACAGGCCGGTTTCAGGAGTGGGTTCAATACCATGGATCACATCCAAGTAGTCAGAGAGCTCTTGGAACGCGCCGAGAAATACGAGATGCTACTATGCATAGGTTTCATCGACTACGAAAAGGCTTTCGACTCCCTCACCACCACATAGGTGCTCAGAGAGCTGAAGATCCAGAACATCGAGGACACCTATGTCGACCTCATCAATATACTATGATACAAGGCGACAGCATCTGTCCGACTGCACCAAGACACGAAGAAGTTCAAGATCGAAAAAGGCGTTTGCCAAGGTGATACTATCTCCCCAAAACTCTTTAAGGCGACACTAGAAGTTTTCAAGACCCTTGACTGGGAAAAGAAAGGAATCAAGGTTAACGGCGCTTACCTGAGCCACCTGCTGACGACATCATTATCTTCGAATCTACACCCGAAGAACTAGAAAACCGAGTGAAGGAACACGCAGAAGCCAGCAAAAACGCAAGCAAGATGAACCTTACCAAATCTCAAATCATGTTCAACAAACATGTCAGACCCAAATAAATCTAAGTTAATGACAAAAAGCTTCAACAAGTTGACAACTATATCTACTTAGGACAGCAAATATCTTCAGACAGCAGAATTGCAGGAGAAATCAACAGAAGAGCGAAGATGGGGTGGAGCGCTTTCGGACGCCTCAACTCGATCTTCAAGGGTGAATTGCCTATCTGCCTCAAGAGAAAAGTCTTCGACCAATGTGTATTTCCAGTTCTCACATATGGATGTAAGACATGGACACTGACGGCAAAAATAGAAAAAGAAACTACAGAAAACTCAACGCAGATGGAGAGGTGCATGCTGGGAGTCAAAAGAAGACAGGAAAAAGAACAAATGGGTCAGAGCACAGACGAAGGTGAGTGACAGCGACATCATCGAAAGAACGAAAAAACTCAAATGACAGTGGGCTAGCCACATTGCAAGAAGACCAGACCAGCGATGGACGTCGGAAATCCTCAACAAAGGAATAAGAAGAGACCTAAACGACCCCCCCACACGAGATGGATTGACGAAATTAAGAAATTCGCTGGACCAATGTGGAAACGAACAATCGAGGACTGGGAAAAGGGAAAAGTGGAAGCTTCTTGGGGAGGCCTTCATCCTGCAGTGGATCGAGAAGGGATGATGAATGCATATCATGTGAAAGAGAAACTCAAAAAGTTCCTAATTTATGTATATTAACCTATGCATATTTATATGGCCACAGAAAGTTTGGAACATGTTAACCTTTTCGTGCATGATGTCCACTGTAGTGGACGGCAATGATTTTGGCGATGATGATAACTTTTCAGCCACGGCACACATACCTCTGAACTTTTGGTGCTTGCAGTCTACTCCAGGACTCATAATCTATTCAATGTTGCCTTCTAACAGTGAAACATGCGATTACTAGGGCAGAGTGCGTATGCGTTAAATAAAAAATATAGCATATTTTTGTTTTGCTTTAATAATTCAAGCACGAAGGGGTTAAGGTAACCTTGTGAATCTACGGTAACAGACTCGCCTTCATTTTCCGTGAAGAAGAAAGGGCCTATCACAGATGCACAAATTCTACACCAGATTGTCACTTTGGGGGAATGCAATGGAATCTTAGGCCTATAATGATCTCCAGGTTTTTGTATACCCTAGTATCTGCAATTTTGAGAATTTGTAATTCCTCAAAGCAAAACATAACATCTATCGGGTGAGGGAGCAGAGAGATAAGGGAAACTCCGTGGAAGTCGTCTATTTAGATTACGCGAAAGCCTTCGATACCGTTCTTCACTAGAGATTGGGGTTTAAACTGGAGGCGCATGGTATCCAGGGTAGGACGAGTGTCTGGATTAGTAGTTGGTTGACGTGAAGAGAGCAGCGAGTGATAAATGGGAAAGCGTCGACGGTGGTCGAGGTCGCGAGCGGTGTTCCTCAGGGCTCTGTTCTAGGACCGCTTCTTTTTCTGGCTTAAAGTAACGACTTGGTTCAACGCGTAGAGAACAAGATCATAAAATTTTCCGACGATACCAAAATAGGTTTTCTTCCAGGGGGAAGCGGATAGAGCGAAAGCCGAACAAGATTTAAGAATCTTGGACGAGAAGAGCAAAAAACGGCTCATGAGGTTTAATAAAAAGTAAGTATAAGGTTCTTCACGTCGGTCATAATAACGACAGATCTCTGAACGATTTCGGAGTAGATAAATTGAATGGAGCAAGAGGAGAGAGGGACCTAGGGATTAATATTGATGAAGAACTCAAGTTCTCCTTGCACGCATAAGCGACGATAGCGAAGTGCAATAGGACTCTAGGCTTCATCCGTCGTTCCATAGCCAGTAGGAGCTCGCGCGTTATTCTACACACGTGGAGCGATGAGTTACCATCGAAACGTCTTAACATAGTCGGTCGAGCGTCTCATCACTTTGGCACACCATCTCAACTGGCCAAGCGGTCGTCCACCTGACTTCAAAAACATGGCCATTCCTATACCGAGAAGAGCTATTAAACCCCACGTGAATGCGTACCGAGAGCAGGGAATAAAAGACTTTCGCAACCCTAACATCGTTGGAAAAGCCACATAACAGGTAGTCGGAGGGCCACGATGTCACAACATCGTCACGTGCGCTAACATCTTCCCTTAGATTACCTCTAGGCCATGGAAGAGCTCGCATAGCTTTCGAGGATTCTTTGCTCTATTCCTTAACAGGGTTTTGGCAAGTCTTTCACACCCACCCAATCAACGATTAATGGAGCTTTTGACTCTTCTGTGCCTGCAGCTTTTCATTCACTCTTCAATATTCACTATGGCCCCAACACTGAACATTTTCACCAGAAAATCACACCATGTTTGGTGCCAGAACTAAGTCTGTGTCAATTTTCATCGCACAGCTTCCCATAGCTTCTATAAACTCCTGGAAAAGCTTCTTACCAAAAGTAAACTCCTTACCAAAAAAACCTTTTTTACCAGGAGTTTTTATCTAAACCAGAGCATTTTGAAGGAAAAAAGAATCCAACTACGGTACCAGATCTGCTACAGCGCTAAATTTCACCACTCAGCTTTTCTGGGTTTCAAAGAATTTCAGAACATCCAAAAATCCGTCCTATGATTCGACTGTAAAACCAAACTGATTTCGCTTTAGACAAATCGTGGGGGGGGGGGGGGGGGGGGGGGGGGGGGGAAATTAGGGTTGCGAAAGTCTTTTATTCCCTGCTCTCGGTACGCATTCACGTGGGGTTTAATAGCTCTTCTCGGTATAGGAATGGCCATGTTTTTGAAGTCAGGTGGACGACCGCTTGGCCAGTTGAGATGCAGTGGGATGATCCAAAGATTTCACTGGGTGTCCTTGTTGCTGAATGCCGAGAGTGCAAGAGGCGAATTTGCCTCTGTTCCTACCTTGAATACGTGGACGCGTTCGGGTCTGCACCTACGAGAGTGAAGAATGCATTGAGCTTTCCTCCTCCGCGCGGAGCCATATAAAGAGAGCACGTGTCTGGACTCAATTCCTCTCAGGTCCTCCTGCTTTGACGTCATCAGAATTGATAGAGCTCAGAAGAGCTCTGGGGCTCGCCTAGAATACGTATCTAGAACGATGAGAGCAGTATTGATTTAATCGAAGAAGGGATTTTCATTTTCATGGACGACGCCGATAACGATATGAAAACCGTCGTTCACGACGAAATTACGAAATTTGACGAATGAATAAAATTCTCGTTTGACCGAATGGTTAAAACTCGACGAAATGGCTAACAATATTAGTTTGTGAGATGAATACGGTAGTTATTAATAAATTGAAATTTGTTGATTAAATTAACACTGGATCGGAGGCGCTATATGTCTCTTTAGTTACATGCAGGCCCAACATCTCCTAGGATGCTTTGGCGGGATAGAGATCCACACCTGCTCTTTGCTACCATGTCTTCAAAACTAATTAACCGATATCAACAATTGAAGGTAACTCGACTTGAGTTAGGAGTATACTTTTTGAGGCTACCAGCACTGATCTGGTACTGAGAGGGCTAAATAATACTTATTAATTCAAATAAACATTGACCTAGAGCAAACAATTTTGAATCGATGTAAAAATATGAGATGCTGATGAATTCGCCTTGGAGCATAGGTATGCTTCTTTGCGGTTAAACGTACAATAATCAAGCACCTTTGAACACTACCTATCGAAGTTTATGAAAAAAGTGAACGATCTTAATAGAATATTTACCTTCAGTGATACACTTATCCAACAAATGGCTGAGTATCTACAGCATACCAGAAAAACACATCTTGAAACATTGATACGGAAAATTAGATGTGTTCTTATTAACAAAAGCTGTCGCTGCTCCAATTCCAACGGCAGCCGGGGACCGTTGCAGCAGTTTTCTGAATTGAGGCGGCCATTTTCATCCTGATGAAACAAAAACTCGTGATATCATAACATATTCAATGTTATATCTGCTGCGTAAGAGTTGCTTCATGTGTGCCTAAAAGCTTACTGAAATCAAGGCACTGCAGCCTGATTTACAGCATGTTGAAGTCAATAGCGTTGACTTTCTTTTTTAGCCACCCTGTATACCAGTAAGGCAATCGTAGGAACGATATCCGATAAGATCGAGAGTCTCATTGCATAACTGTTGACCCAGAAAATCGAAATCTTTTTTTACTTCATGCAATTTAAATCTTGACTTCTATGTTAAGCGCCAGCGCAAATGGAATCCACTCTCCTTTAGAGAATACTCAAATCTTCTAGTCTTCCGTGCATCCAGTTTTCTGTTTCTGCAACCCATGGTGTTCGAGTTCGATTCAAGGATTGATCAGGAAAACCTGGAAGTAACCATAAATGCTTTGCAGGAGCCAGATATCCAATTACACCAATTCTTACCACATTTCTCTCTTCAAGCCCCACGCGATGTTATCGCCGTGCGATGTTTTTTCCTCGCGATGTTCTTTCTGGGTGCCCCATAAACCATGGGAAATCCTGAATGAAGTCCGAGAAAATTGAGTTGATATTTATCTGCTATTGGTTGGGAATAAGCTCACGGAAAGCATCTGCAAGAAACGACCAGCGCAAAGAATGAATTTAATTGGGAGATGAGTTTGACATAGTCTTTATGACCAGGAAGGACAGTTCCCAAGTTCCACTTGGGAACTGTCCTTAGGCATGTCCCAAGTCCCAAGTGTATTGTGTCCTTCTTGGGCAAGGCACAAGAATGGCAGAGCAGATGCACACACAAGGGTGATTTATCTTTTGTAAAATGATGATGAAGTATAAAATTTCTGCACTGATTAGCTGAAGATACAGCACGAAACTGATAATTATACCAGGGTAATTCCATCTCAAATCAGCCAGAGGCCGGAGCATGACCCCCTCCGATATTGACTAAGATTTTTCATGTGGTACCCCTCATGGCCTAAAGTTAGAATGTAAAATTTTGGTTTCGGGTATGGAGCCGTTTTGGCACAATAATTCGTTAAATTTTGTGAAATTTAAAAAAAGGGACACCTTTCCATGCATAAGTGGGCCAAAAACTTTTCGACCAAAACGAATGCAGCAAACACCATTGTTCTTTAAAAAGGTTAGACTTTCGAAGTTATTTCATTTACTTTTCTCCTCGAGGCGATACTGAATGAGCTATGTCAAATTAGCCTATTTTTTGGCATATTCAGAAATTTGCAAATCGTCATGTTCATCAAACCCTATCATCATCTATGTTTTTGGAATCTGCGGAAGAAGATCTAATGATGTGTATCCCATTTTTGTCCCAACAAATTCCGTTTAACCCTTTCAAGGCTGAATTAAGAAAACGAATAACTAGGACATTTTTCACAGCTTTTTCTATTGAACAGGCCTAGCTAAACACAGATCTCGCAGAAAATTTCAAATATTTACTCATATATTCAAAATTTGACTTTTTTAATTACAAGAATCATCAACCGAAAATACTGAATAACAGGCCAATGTTCACACATGGGGAACCCCTAAAACTTGGCCTTTGTCCCAATGATATCCATTCATTCCTGCAGCATGCGGACATACTTTTCCCTTTTCCAAAAAAAAATAATAATAAATCTTTTTTTTTTCGGTCAAAATGTCATTTCACAAAAAATAAAAAATATCTGGTCACAACTTTTCTTTTTGATCCAGCTTGCCTGAATTACAGCCTATTTGAACGAATGATGCGTCACCGAAGAGCCCTTTTAGAGAGCTATTAAGCAGTACCAAATAAAACAAGTTTTGTTCAATGGTAACCGCTAGAGCAGTCTCGAAAGATATGATCATAATGATATGATCATGATCATACGCCATGAAAGGGTTAAGGAGATGTGATGGCTCGAAATATGGAAAATCACAAATTTCGCAAAGAAAACCATTGTTTTCAATTGTATCGTGCCATTTTCCATGCAGCTCAACAAACTTGAAAAATTTGCAGAATGTTTGTCATTTACTTAAGCAAAAGATGAGAGCAATTTCAAAGCTCATATATTTATTTAAACGCATACCACACATTTTTATTCATACCCCACCTCCCAATTCTTGCTGTTGTTTTTAAGGCCAAAAAAAAACATACAGTTTTCATTACCAGTTCTTCGGGGTTTTTTCTCCTCATAACTGCAATTAAAGGGGAAAAAATTTCGCCTTAAAAACAACGACAGAAATTGCGGGCCTCAAAGCAGCCCTTACCCGTAGACCGATTATGCAACTCTTATGTCAGACAATGAGACTGCCCAGCAAACAAATTGAAACACATAACGTTGAATCAACGTTCGTAACGTTGGTACAACAAAGCCTTATTTGCTGGGAGGGTCTTCTACTCCTTAAAGAGGAACAGCAGGCGCCTCGGTTATAAAAATAACAAATATAACTACAAAAATATAACCCTAAGCTTATAACTACGCCATAAGGGTGCCTTCTTTAAAGCTTTGAATTTTCTTTTTTTTTAGCAAACTGGACAGAAATAAGTACCAAGGTGCAGGCATAGGCTTACTCGATTAGGGCAGGCCTACCGTAGGCCTGGTGCGAACGACCTACAAGGAATATGTGAAATAGTCATTCAGCCTGGGATACTTGCATTCCGTATTGTACGATCTACAGCTTTTGTGCGATGTCATGTAAAGCAGTAGTGTTACCGGAGCCTCTGGACCAGATGGGTTGAGTTGAATTTTTAACTCGTTAGGCCTCGTAGCGTCATCTCTTGGTAGGAAGAATAAATATACTTTGCTTGGTAAGGTGGGAAACGATGTTTCACATTGCGCGGCAAGATTGGTCTAAATGGTGCTACGGAAGAAGAGATTTCCACATGAAGTACATTAAATTTCTTTCTTTTAGTACTACTAGTAAATTGCCATGCCCGATTTCCGGGGGGGGGGGGGGGGGGGGGGGGGGCCCCCCTTATGCTTCCATGAATATATATGAGAGGGGTAGTCCTATCTTATAATACATGAACGCTTGACCTTGCCCCTTATAGCGGACGCCCATGGGTTGCACGCTCCTATGAGACTGCAGAAAAATTAAGTATTTGCACAAAAATCCTCTCTCTAGTTATGTAATAGAACCTCCTTGTGTTTATTGCATTATTTCTGTATTCAAGACGTCCTTTTCCTCATTAAATATGGAATTATATCATTCTTAAAGTATCTCCCATCACATTCAGACACTTTCCTTTCTTGAGTTCTTAACATAATGGGATATTGCATGAAAGCATTTTTGGCACTTCCGTACTTGCACTCCTTCCAACTGCGACTGCGCTTCTTGGCAACCATGCTTTTCAAATGGCTGCTCACCTCCATGCACTCCCTCCACAAGAAGGTTGAAAGTTCGGATAAGGGTGCCTAGAGGCGCTTTTGCTCAATAGGACGTCCTGTGTCAAGGTCAAGCGTTCATGTATTATAAGATAGGACTACCCCTCTCATATATATTCATGGAAGCATATCCACATATTTTTCGCTTACAGCTGCATTGCGCCCGTAATTTTTTCTTCCTTGAAAGCATCAAACCTCTTAAAGCCACTCACGGTAGGAGCAGCCACAATATCGTCACTTAACACATTTCATATGTCAATTGCCCTACTAGTAAAGAAGCCATTCCACAACCAGAGTCTCGCTTGAGGTTTACGCAACTTAAACCAGTTTTCTCGTCCTGCTTGTTTCCAAACGCTGAGTTTGGAAAATCTACTTCTCTCCACATTATCGATTCTCTTACTGATCACAAAAGCTTGGACTAGGTTTCCCCTCGTAAGCCTTCTGAGTGAAAGAATGATCAAATTGTGTCATTGTCATTTGAGTTTTTTTTTTGTTCATTCAATGTAGTTGTAGGCTTAAGTTCTAAAGTTTTATGCTTGACTGAGAAGCGATGCATGACTATGTATTCACGAAATCCTTTGTCTCTTTTACATATATACTAGATGAGTGGTTGTGTGGTCCATGTTGAAAACAGGATTTTTGGAGCTCCTTGCACCCACAAGTGCTGATATAAACTTATTCTTAGGTATTAAAATTAGAGCAATAAAAGCCAGAGGTCATTAGCATTGCCTTTGGTGATTTCTTGTTATTGTGAACAAGGCATTAACCAAAATAATTGTTGGCCCATGCACATTTGCAAGGAAGTTTGAATGGCAAGAGACCAGAATGAGGGCTTGGAAGGAGAGGATCCTCTCCCTGACAAGGCAGCTGCAAAGGAGTTCTATGCCAGATATGAGCCCAAAGAAGTCTTAGGCAAGTAAGTGTCAATCAGAAAGGATATGTGTATGTCAAAGAGTTTTTTTCCACCATTGGCAGTATGAGTGGGTGTAGATATGTAGGTGTATTCATGTGAAATATTTTTTTCCAGAGGCAATCTCTGTCCATACCTTGAGATTGATTCCATTTCTGGTTGATCACAAGGTGATACTTCTCTTATTCTAATTGCCTGTTCAGTTGTACTTCTTTGCCATGTTTAAGATTTTACCAATTTTTATTATGGCATTCTTTGCAATGCAGGGGTGGTATATAGCATCCAAATCTATTTTTTGCAATGTGTCACACCTTATAATAATTCAGCTTAGAACTATCCATATTGCAAAAATCTGTCATTTTCAAAAAATGGAAATGTACAACTAAATATTAACTGGATGTCTGTCACATATCTGATGGCCATGAGGAGGTGTTTCTATTTTGACACCCCTTATAGTATTATTAATTGCTCAGTGGCACACTTATTGAGAATGAATGAAGATTCACATGCATTCTTTGTGAACTGCAAAGGTCCATAATCCTAATCGCTCATCCCATTGTTCATTGGTCAGGGTGGATGGAAGAATGGAAGATGGAACTATATTTGAATGCCAAATGAACCTTTTTAACATCTGCTTCACAAAGCACACTTGTAGGCCCTCACATAACTGTAATAGTTGCATGCCGTGGTCCCTAAATCAAATATGTTACTTGTCAGCTTAGAATTTGCATAGGAGAAAGTGAATAGAAAAGGTCTCATATTAGAATAATATTCATTTTTCTAAGATCAGCAATTACATCCTAGGGTGTGAAATACATGCAGTTGCATGAAGGTAGCTATTATAATTAGTCCTCAGTTATTGCAACAAGTAATGTTTGATCCTAGTTGTGAGTTATGCATTTAAGACTTGCTTCTTCAGAGTAGGTTATTGCAAGAACTTTGTTTTTAGTTGTCAGTTTTTGGTCCCACTGACAAAATTGAAAGTATTAAGTTCTTAATTCATCATTATGCTTCCCAACAATGGGATTCTGCTTTCTTTGTAAGTTTGATATGTGTGCAGCGAGTGTGACTGTAGGAGAGTGGAGTGAGGGTAAATCCTAAGTAAAAAAAAAATCAACCTGATGACTGAAGATAGGGTGTCATCTATTAATCATCTTGTCCTCTAGTCTCAGTTGCTATTCTTTGTTCTTGTTAACATCATAGCTTGTGAAAAACAGAGGAGGCATGCATTTGTGACTGAGCAGAAAGTGAACATCATTTGTGTAAATGCTATTTTGTAAGAAATCATTGCAGCCTCATTTACAACAAACCTCAGCAAAACAGCAACATTTTCCTGACCTCTTTGATGATGTTATACTTGAGTTATGCTATGGAACATAAGGTGAGAGCAGGATGCAGTCACTCTAGAAAGGTGCCTTGTTCCTTAATTCCACAGGAATGAGCATAGCATAGCCATGCCTGTTATGGAAATAATCCAAGTTGGCCATGAATGATCTATATCTCAATCATCACCTTGTTGACCAAGTAGACTCATCTTCAGCTGCATGCTAATTGGGCCACAAGCACTTCATTGTGATGTGACCCTTGTCCTAGGCCTATCTCTGCTGATGCACCAAAACAGTATTTTTGGAAACTTGAGCTCTTTATTGAAATGAGCGCAAAGAGGAATGATATCCCTCAAATGAGAGAGTATAGAGGTGATGAATGGTACCAAGTCTATGTAGCCAAGGGAAATTTATGACATTTTTATTTTCTCTCTCCTTACTTTTCCGAATGTGAGATTTTGCATATTTTCCATAGTCTGGTTTCTGATTAATTGTATCTAACTGATTGTAGTGCAAAGTTGTAATAAGACATGAATTAACAAAAGTAAAAATTGGGAATGCAGTTTGAAATGTGTGTAGAATAGATTATACCCATATATTACTTTCTCTCTTTTTTTATCCTCCCCTTGTCCTCCCTCTTCTGAAAAGAGAAAAAAGTCTTGGGTTTTTCAATCGGATCAGTTGGTAAGTACTATGTGTTATTGTGGAGATCCTAGAGGCAGTAGGAGAGGCTGCTACCCTGGGGTTTAGGGCTCCAGGTCCATGTGGGGTTTCTTATAACCTCTCCTCTTGGAATAGGGTATGGAGTTGGGGGGGACAGCAACCTCTATTTGTGTTTTGCTGCCATTTTAGTTTACCCCCCCCCCCCCTACATCTGTTCTTTTCTCTGAATACATGGACAAAGATTGAGAGAAAAATTTTGTTTTATTAAATCATCATGGGTAATTTTAGGTTTGAATACAGTGGATGTCATGATGTAATTTAATTTTCTAACCCATGATTCTCTAAATGTGTTAATTAAAAATGTTTTCATTCCCTTAAACAATTAGCAGATGAAATACTGATACTGGTAATGATACCATGTTTGATCAATGCTAACAATGAATTGTAAGCATGCAGTGTGAGGTAATGATACCAACAGCACTTTATTTACATACTATCGTTGTATTGCTTGCTTTCAAAAATTTTTCCAGGGGTGTTAGCTCCACTGTGAGGAAGTGCATTGAGAAGGAAAGTGGGAAGGAATTTGCAGCAAAGATCATTGACTTGACTGGAGCTGATGCCAGGGAATCAGAAACACTTCGTGAAGCTACTCTCAGGGAAATCGAGATCCTCCGCATTGTTGCTGGACACCCCTACATCAGTAAGAAGTATATCCTCATCAGAGTACTTAAAAGTGGAGGGACATCTCTTGGGAAGGATCTAGCATTCCTCACCAGATGCTGCCTGATCCACTGAATGTTTATTTGTGCTATAATCTGTAATATCTTTGCTCATTGATCCTTGTTTTTATTTCACACAAGCTGGTATTCTCTCAGATTGTCTTCTAAATGAAATTTTAATATTTGAAATTCATCATAAACTTTAATATTAGTATTAGTTCAAGCCTGAAAGCTCCAAATCTGAACTAATTATCACATTTACCTTTATTCTACTTTGACCTGATCTACTAACGTCTAGTATCCCTTCTTCCTGCTCTCCACTTCCTGGTTTTCTTGGTCTCCTTCCTCCTGTAGACATCTCAGCTTTTTATTTTGTTTCTAAAAAGTATGGAGTTTTAACTAAAGTCAGCTGGAGGATTTTGTTTAAAAAAATTTTTAGATTTGGCCCTAGTTCATGATTATTTATACATTGCTAGTCTGTTGATTCCCTGTTTCTTACATATTATCTTCTTCCAATATCTAGCACTTTATGATCTACTCCTTCTCTTGTTAGTGTTCTCTACCCTTTTGACAAACCAGTGACTTTTTCATTCAGGATATTTCAGTCACATTCTCTCTTGGGTCCACTGGTGGTTGTCATCTCTGTGAGGCAATTCTATCAGCTGAAGAGACAGATAGGTGTTGTTTTCAAAGTGGTGACACTTGGAACATTTTGGTGACTGCGTGAATGCAGTCACTAAAATGTTCCAAGTTGAGCAACATACTCATTCACAATGCTAAAGTAACCCGTTAGATGACAATCATTTGAGAGTTCTCTCATCCCCTTTAAACCTTATTTTCACCTAAGCTCACTTTTAAATACAGGGTGCGCCATAAGTCTTTTGACAAAATGTACCGTGACCGTACATCCAATGCACATACCGCAAAGACTTTGTACTTCGTACTTTGGTAGTTCCTTATCAGTGCTGAACATAGCTGCATACGGAAAGCCTTGTGACGCATCGTTCATTTTTTTCAGAATGCTGCCATCCTCATCTCCAGACTTAAACCCCATGGATTATTCCATTTGGGGGACATTGCAAGCCAGGATCAACGTTAACTGTCACACAAGTTTGCACTCTCTCAAATGCGCCATCTTGCGAGAGTGGAAAGAACTTCCAATGGATTCTGTTCGTTCAGTCATCGATTCTTGGCGTCTGAGACTGAAAGCCTGTGTGGATGCAGGCGGTGGACGATTCGAATGAGACTGTGAACTTTTGCTTGTTTCCTTTTAGTGAATCATGTGACTAAGTTCTAAAAAATAAATTTTGTTCCGTTGTTATGTTGTCATCATTTTAATTTTGTCAAAAGACTTATGGCGCACCCTGTATATATGGTCAAAGTTCAAATCATGACTGACAGGCTTATTGAAAAAGATGACCCTTTTGTTTACTTATTGCTCAACCTGTATGTATGTATTTATTGACAGTTGAGCTCCATGATGTGTTTGAGTCAGACACATTCATCTTCCTTGTATTTGAACTCTGCAAGAATGGAGAGCTATTTGATTATCTCACTTCTGTGGTTACCCTCTCAGAGAAGAAGACCAAGTGAGTGTAAGACTGGTAAAAGAAAAATTGCTCTTTGGTGAGTGGCCATGCTCCTGAATGTGCTTATTTTCCTTTTTACCTTAGATACATAATGAGGCAGCTGCTAGATGCATTGGAATATGTGCACAGCAAACATATTGTCCACCGTGATGTGAAACCAGAGAATGTTCTACTTGATGACAACTTCAATGTCAAGCTAACTGACTTTGGATTTGCTCGAGTTCTCCAGCCTGGGGAGAGGTTATATGGTTTGTTGCTAGTTATACAGATTTGTTCTCCAGGACAGAAGGAGTTTGAAGAAGTTAAAAAAAAATAGATTAACAACATGAACTTGTTTGACAGAGTTGTGTGGCACGCCAGGCTATCTGGCACCAGAGTTATTGAAATGCAATATCTCAGAGAGCTCCCTCGGCTACGGGATGGAAGTGGACATGTGAGTGTGGTTACCTCAATTGTATGTTCTTCTGCAGGGAGCAGCTATTCTCTTATTTTTCTTGCTCTTCCTCTCATGTCCCCTATCTGTCTCGCTTGGCTTCTTCCTCCTCCCCTTCCATTTCTGCATGCTGCCCGTTGACCAGCATGCAGAAAGAATGTCTCAGACCAGGTTTATATGATGTGCATTCATCCTGCACAATACCATTGGCAGTACTGCCACTGAAAGGAAGAGTCTTGTACCCAGCAAGAGATAGGTACTTCTGTTGTCATCATAGGGTCTACCAAATACAATATTTGCTTGCATAAAGATAACCAGAGAAGCCTTCTTGTGGGCTTTTTTTTTCCAGTAATGTCCATTACGTACATGCAAGTCTGGCCACATTAACTGCACTTCTAGCAAACTAGATGTTTATATATTCCTGCCACTATTCTTGCTGCATGTAATGATAAGGTCAGATATATAATACAGATACAGATATATAACCAGAATTTTGTAGATCTGTACAATATCAAGGCTAAAGTTATTCAACCCAATTATGATATATTCTGTTACAGTGATTTATATAAGTTCTGTATCACTTATGAACATGAATGACAAGTACTGAAAATTTATGGTAGTCACTGCAAAAAACCAAACCTAGGGAAAATAAATTCACAGGCATTCAATTTTTAAATATGAACTGTTTAGATCTATACTTTGATTCATCTTTTTGTAGCCATAATTGGTTCAGATTTTCAAGTGACTGGCATTTGTGCCAAGGATTACGTGTAATTGTCATATTCACTGTCGTGTCACATAAAGTGTCCCTCTCTTTGTGATGATAGATGGTTTTCCCTGTCTTTGTGCAAAATGAATCCCATTCCAACAGAATGACAATGAGCAAATTATGAATAAGAATGGAATTGGAGTCTGAATGGATTATAATGTTAGAGAGTGATTCCTAATTTCAACTTTGAAATATCGTTTGAAACTCTTCTTTTCATGGAACCTGAAATATATTTGGTATATTGTATTTACTTGAGTTATTGGATTATTTTTTATTTGTCAGGAATACCAAAGATATCATTGTACCTATATGCTATGAATGAGTTCATAGTTCGAATTGAGTCATTTCCATTGACAAGTTTTTAATTTGTCGGTACAAGAATAGCATTCAGTTTGATGCTTTGTAACACCCACTGTAGAAGTTTTAGGGTCTCTCTCATCTTAAGCCATGGAGGAATTCTTTAAATTTTATTAGATGAACATTTGAAGTTCCTTTGTTCCAGGATAAAATGCAACAATATTTCCTAGTTCAGTAAGAACTTAATCTTTTCCTTGTATTCCATTGCATTGGTTTCAGCAATGCTCTGCAGATGTCTCTCATCTGATGCCAATGCTGGTTTTTCATGACTTTCCTTTGTGTAGTTTTCTTAACTATGTCATGTCATCATGCAGTAGCTAATGTTAGCAACAAAAGAAAAAGATCTCAACTAGGATAAGTTATGTCATGGAGAGAAAGATAGATGAGAAAAGGGAATCTTTGCAGGGTTTCCAAGCAAAGGACTTTGTCTCTTCATACCAACATTTATTATAGGGAACCCTTCTCTTGTTAACTGTAGGATGATGACACTGCACAGTTGAGAACACTGTGCCAAGGATGCAGCCATAAAAAAGTTTTTTTTTTTGGCACTAAATGAGAAACATCTATGTAGAACTGTGGAAACTGCAGCTGTATATGGGGAAATATGAATTTATAGCTTTTGAATATTTGTTGCTTTTAGTCCAGATGGCCTAGAACAGGGGTCTCAAACTCACGGCGGCATATAGGGCATTTCCATGTGAATGCGGTCTGTGGGCCAGGAGTTTGGGACCCCTGGTTTAGAGGCTTTTGAACTTTCAAGAGTGCATTTTAGAGCATTTTTTTGTAATATAAAATAACCATGAACTTCTGCAGTAGGTGTCACAAATAATCAAACAGTGTCTATACATTTTGCACTATATGATAAAAATTGCATATATTATGCCTTCCTGGTTAGGTTGGATAAAAAAAATAGAGTCCAGTCCTATGTTTGTATTAGTTGTTTTCTGCTTACATGCTTTAGAAAGAATTATGAATATTTTATCGGGATGCATTTTCTGGGATCAGAAGTGCATGAAGAGCAGGAATACCTTTCCTGAAATTGTAGGTGTCCTAGATAATGGCTACATTTGAGTTTTGCCATGCCTGTAGGAGGTCCAGTAAAACCCCGTTATAACTAGGAGGCAGCGAAGCCGTGCAAATTCTTGCATCACAAGGGGAAACTAATTATATTCAGGGTTTTAAAACACTATGAGCATTCAGCCAGGGATGGAATATTGACCTGCTCTGAGGAGAATTTTTTTTGCGTTATGACGGGGTTTTACTGTATGCATTTTTTTGTCCTCGTGCTGTCCCATGTCTTTGTAGAGGTGTGTGGCACCCCCGGGTATCTAGCTCCTGAGCTCCTCCGTTCAGCCTTGTCAGAAAGTTCCCATGGCTACAGTCACAAGGTCGACATGTGAGTTCTCCCTTGCCTTGCCCTGTGGCCTTAAAGTATTGAAAAACTCAAGTAGTGCCTCTGGGTGAGAAGACAAAATGCATCCTATTGTGATTTCTTGACATTCTGACTTTATTTGCTTGTGATTCTGTGTCTCTGGTTGCCCCTGCCCTTCCCATTGCTTTGTTTGTGGCTTTGCTTCAGCTCTCTGTGGGATGATATATTTTATGAATGGTTTGCATGTGTGTATTTGGTTGTGATAGGAACTAAGAGAGATTACAGCTCTGGGAAATGGGTGGAAGTGTCAGTTTGCTGTGGATGTCATGGAATATAAGGGTGGCTGATAAGTTATTATTGATAACATTCACTTAGCTCTTGAGTAGTTCTTCCTGAATGTACATAACTTGATATTAGTCCTTGTAAATTTGCATTATCTTCATGGAAGTAGCTGGGAATGTCAAGTTATTGGTTATGCCCTTTCATGGAGCCATGCTATTCTGATTTTATTCAAGTACAAGTAAAGACTTGGAGTTTGTCATTATGAATTTGAAATGAAATTTTGAAACATGAAATTTTTTCTAGGAATAAGATCTATTTTCCAAAAGTAAGACTCAGTTACAGCAAGTAGAAAAGGAAATTGGTTCATACCATATGAAGAGGGTCTTTTTTTTTTTTAAGAGTAGCATTTTGAAAGTGACAGAAAAAATGCATGTTTTTTATTACCAGCACACTATGCTTGTCTAAATTAAAAAAAATGAGAATTGGTGTATCATTTTTCAGTTGGGCTTGTGGTGTCATCATGTATACTCTGTGAGTGTCTTACATTTCTCCTCTAGGCCTATGGATTGGTTAAAGCAGAATGGAAAGATTAAAGGTGATTTTGTTTTCTGCCCTGCAGTCTGGTTGGGTGCCCACCATTTTGGCACCGGAAGCAAATGATCATGCTGAGAAACATAATGGAGGGAAAATACAGCTTCACTTCCCCTGAATGGGATGACATCACTGACTCACCCAAAGACCTCATTCACCGCATCCTTGTCACGGACCCAGAACGACGCATCACGGTTCGAGAGGCACTCCATCACCCTTTCTTCCAGATCATGGTACAATTATGTACTAAGTACTTTTTTTGTTTTTTGTCTTCATCTGCCAAATTACAAGATTCTCTCTGGCACAGTAGTAGTAGAGTTAAATAGGGGCAGTTTGCACTTTAGAAAGTTCCATTTTATTTAAAACACAGCTGCAGTACTATGGGTTGTATACTTGACTTTCTGTATCAATTCTTAATCATTGTACTTATCAGGTGTTTTGCAGTTTTGTTGTGTGTATGAGGTCCCTGAGAGGTGACTTTGGCCTGCTTTTTCATGCCCTAACCAGTGTATGGTATTCATTCATTTATAAGTTGCCTATGAGCTATGTAATGAAATCATTTATTAAGGAAACTCATGCTGGATAAGCAAATGCATTACAGTGACTTCAGATTGAGCTAACCCACCAGTTTCTATCATGGTGCAGTAGCAGCATCAGGGTTAGTGACATTAAGGTAGCAATACCCCATTAAAAAAAAAATTTCTTGAGAAAAAAATTGTTTTTGCAAAAATGAGCTCAAACTATACTTCATACACTGAAGATAGCTTTCCCATTGGAAAAAATAATGGAAATTAATTAATTAGGAGTAATTTTAACTAGTTAGTGTAGTATTGTCTTAATTACATCTCCTTAGCACCCACTTTGGCCCTTGGATACCATATGTTAGAAAAGATGAAAATTCCAATGCCATAACTTTTGTTGAACTTTTTGTTGTTGTTCACTCTGGATTTCAGGAGTTGAAAAAGTTGGCTGCTCTGCTTTTGAAGTATGTAAGGATAGCTCATAGGGCACTAATTCACTTCTCTTATTGATTTCCTGAAAACCCATTTTCAGCCTAAGTACAGTGCTCTTGAGCACAATATCTAAGGACCTATTAGAGATATCCATATGATTTTATGCAATAAATTTCCTTGAATCGGTAGTCATGGAATGATGAGCATTTCCTGATATTGTGGATGCAATTTGGATAATTAGGAAATTAATTCATAATTAGCTGGTCAAAATGGAGGAAAAAATTATTTTGGTCAAATATATTTCTTCTGAAGGAATTCCATGAAATTGTTCCATCATTCCAAGCTTTATGATGTCATTTATTACATGTGTGAAGTCCATCATTTTATATTCAAGGATTTCTAATATATATTGTGTTTGAAATTTTGCAACTTTTTTCACTCATGGCGGCCATATTGATGCCTAATTAGCATAATTTATGCTAATTATTCATTAAATCGAAATAGTTCATTGAGGCCTCCAACCTGATATAAAGAGTTGATTTACACCTCTGGAACTCACCAAATTGGTTTTAAAGGGGTATTGGTACCTTAAGTGATTTCTAGTGCAAGGCATTGTTGCTAGCTGCTAGCCACCCTGGGGCTCTTCATGGACACCATAGCTACACCTAGTGTTTTTGTGAAGTGAAATCTATCCCAAGGCAGAAGACATCTTATTGCTATCTGTAGAGCCAAATAAAATAATGCATTCCATGCCAACATTGGGTGAAACTCAGTCCAAAATCACTCTAGCTTCTCTCTCATCATTTTGATTCATGTCTGCAGGTGAGGTTTTGAATTTTATGATTCTCACATCAACTATTAGGCATGTTAGCTTTGGTGGCACAGTTGGTGGATGGTCCTGGCTCAGCACTGAAGAAAGAACTCTTGTGCATTGTAGATGACTTTGACCAAACATTATTGATGGAATGATCTATTAACAGATATTGAGTTTAGGGATATGGTCAAGCATAAGCACAATAAGACCTTTCATTGTGAGTCCAGGACCAACTGTCTTCCTGTTTTCCACATAAAATAGTTTCCACACTAAGAGTAATCACATACTGGTTGGTTATTTGAGTATTATGTCTTCTAACTTGATTTTTTAAATTTGTTTCCTGCTGTGTTTTCCTCTTTCCTGATGCTTGTCTGGTTGTGTCTCTCTCTTTTTCTGGCATGCTCTTCCTCTTTCTTCCATCCCTGTCCTGTATCATAAATTACACCCTCCTCCTCCAGCAAATTCCACAGATCGTGATCCCTGGAGTCCCTTCGCTGCCTCCTGTGAGTTGCTATCCATGGTTTTCCTGCACTCTGGAAATTTGCTCTCCCCACCCCTTCAGAGGAAAGACTAACTTTTTGTGCAAACTAACTCTTAGTTTGATCACCCCAATAATGATTTTGAAATTGGACATGAAAATAGCCATTTTCATTAACCAAATGTCATCGCCATATATGTGTCAACATATTATTTGATTTCCACAACTGGTTTGCACTGACATAGAATGAAGCAGGGGAGTGTGAATTTTCATAGATTTGATAAACCAAGTTCCAGTCCTTCAGTTAACTTCAAAGTCTAATCAATAGGACTATGGTAATAGCATTGATTGCATCAAATTGTTTAAATGTGCCCAAATTACTAACTGGCTGTTTAATGTGCTAATTAAAATCCTACCAATTCTGTCATCTGTTGTCAGTGTGTGACATGGTGAAATGCTGAAATTGATGCTGGAATTTAACAGGATGGAACTGATCAGGACCTCATGCATCTTTTTGAATTTGTTTTTTTCCTCACAAAATCTTCTGGCCTCTCTCTCAATTTCTATTATGAATCCTCTTGCACCCTGTTTGCATGGTTTTGCATTGAAGAATACAGTCTACAAAGTTACTTAACAGTTTCAAGATATTGTCCCTCCTGCTTTGCTTGGGAATTAATGAAAAATGGCAGGTGATTCAAGCATTATATAAAGTTTTTTTTAAATGTCATTTAAATCTTGTAAATTGAAACACAGAATGAATAGAAAAAGTATGAGAAAATCAGAAAAATATGAATAAATAAATAAATTTTGGAGTGTAAATTACAGTGCAAGTGGGAGGCTCCTTTTGGAAATGCCTTTTCTCTACTCTCTGCTGAAATTCTCACTGTTCTGCAGCTGCAGCTGAATACAACTGGCCCAAGAGCTGAACCACTTTCAAAATATTTGTTATTATTTTTGTGCTCTGTATTGAAATTGAGGTATCAAAATTATTGTGGTTTGAAATATATATTTAAAGTTGCTAAGTTGTGCTTGAAATACAGGCTATGATTTATTATTTATCTCAAGTACAGTGGGTTGGGCAAAATTTTGAAACAGTAGAGTAACTTTGCAAATAGACAAACTGTTGCATGCTGGAAATACGGCTTAAATTTCCTATTAAAATTCTTATTTCAGTATGCACGGCTAAGCTTTTTTTTTAAAGCAATTGAATGAAAGACTTGCACTGCATTACAGAAGACTTATTGTTGCCCATCTTCATTATTTAGGTCTGGCTTATGCTGTTTTCATTTATTCCATTACTTCATCAAGCTACTTTAACTGAAGGAGTAGGCTGGAATTGTGATTTGCAAGGTGCTTGCAGTTCACAAGAAAATGTGTCTGTTATGGTAGTTTATTTTAATTTAGGATTCCAATGTTACATAAAATAATTACTTGAAGTGTATGAATGCATTGTTTCAAGAACGAACACACTAGGAGTGTTGCATCGTGACCATCATGTTAGATCTCTTTCTTGTTCAGTACATCTGGAAGCACATGAACTCCTCATACCCAAGATGTACTACATTGTCTCTTCCTGTCACAAATGAGTGTTTTGCAATACTTGGATGCCTTCTTGCAGTGTCTCACTGAGAATTCACAAGGTCTCTAAGGCGACAGTTCCAAAGTTGCTGATGTAACACCAGACTCAAAATTATAGCAAAAATGATGGTATACCTTGAAGATGGTTTGGTCCAGAAATTCTTCTTCAACAGTGAACAGTGATCTTCAATAGAACATAGGTACTTGCACCTATTCCAACCAAAAATGTATCATTTCCCCATGGTTGGAAAAAAGTAAGGCCTTCACTTTTCTCTGTGCCAAATGATGTTCTTTGTTGATTTAAAAAAAGAAGAGAAGTGGCTAAGAGAGTTTTCCAGCATTAATGAGGTTTCAAAATTGTTCAAAACGAGGTTCACAAAGCAAGTATTAAATTAATCAAAATATAGTGTTGCAGGAGAAATGAAAAAACCATCTCAAGTCAGGTGATGCATGTTTACTGGATCCTCTATTTACATGTTACTGTTTTACATGTTACTGGATCCTCTATTTAGTCTAAGTTTAGTATTCATACAATACAGAAAAATTAAGTGAGAGAATTTTTAAAAAACATTGCTTTTCCCATTTGTCCCAATTACTCTGGAACTGCCCAATGTTCAATAGGGCTGCCATTCTAAGGCCGATGAAAACCTATAATTACTATTGTGGAGCGTCTTTCTCAGTAGTAAGTTTTGATGCCATGGTTCATGGGTTTATCTACTCCGATTGATTGATTGACAGCACTACCAAGGGAAGAAGTTTGATGCTCGGCGAATGTTCCATTTTGGGATTCTGTGTGTGCGATCCATGGTGCGATTGAAGCGACTGCGCTACACACCAGAGCCAATTTCAATTTCAATGGCCCGCAATGATCCATACAAGCTACGCACAATCCGAAAGGTGGGATCTCCTGCTCACCCTCAGATGTTTTATTTTTTATGTCAGGCCTACTGTTATTGCTTTTCATCAGTTCTTTGACAATTGATCATATGTTCATTGACCAGATTTGCCTAAGAAGGCAATTAAAAGTTTTACTAGTCCAGATCTTCTGTGGAGAGTCCCTATCAAGATTATCTTTATTGTTGCATTATTCTCTTGATCTTTGTGTTGATGTATTTTAAAAGTTTTGGCTCATTGCTTTGCTCCCATTCTTTGTCATTGTCATTCCTTGCTATAGAATTCTAACACATGATGTCATACAGTGAAATATGATTGGAAAATGCCAATTGACAAGATCCCATGAAGATTGGGTGTCTCCCCCTCAGAACTAGTTTGTTGGAGATCAATGAAAGTTATGGACTCCAAGTCTTCCTTCCTCTAGGCATGATGATAGTGCTCCCAGAACTTTTTTAATGGGCTCAACTGGCTGCAGCCATATTGATGTAATACAAGTATAAGTGGCCTCTTGTCAGGCTGTGTGATGTGCTGGTTCCTTTTTGCAGACAATAGAAAATTTATTAAGTTTTCAAACTGCAGATGGTCATAAATTTATTCTAAACATATGCATTAAAAGAGTTCTCATTATTTCCCTCTCTGAAACCAAAATTGCCTTATTATTAAAATTGATATATATTTAATCTGCCACTAATAATAATTTACTTGTCACAGAATCTTTTTACTCAGCAAAAAAAATCTCTACAAAATTAAATAAATCTTTAAATCTTTAAAATCTTTTATGTTGACTCCATCATCAGATCACAATGAACCTTCTCCAAATTTGAGACAGTCACCAATAGCTTATTTTTTTTATTGCATCATCACATGCGCTGCAAATACCAAATCTGCATGAGTTTACACTAAAGGTACACTTTCATCATCAAACTTATGAATTTTTCAATAATTGCTACTGTCTCAGGCAATGGACTTCTCTTCATTTCTGGTTAGACTTGTGGTGGCTAGACAAGATTGTAAGATTGCTTGCTCAAGAATGATTGGGGCTTCTGGTGGGGACCTATGTGACTGGTCTCCTTGTGCCTGTGAACATGTATGGGAGTTTAGTACAGCACTATTAGCCAATTTCTTGTTTGCTGTGCATATTAAAGGTGCCATGGCTACTAGTGACTTTGAGGCTTGGAAAAGTTCTCAAGAGTTTCTAGTCAGCAAACTTAAATATTGAAATGACTTCAGAAGAGCAAGACTCTTTGTTGTCAGAGCTCTACATTTGGAATGTGCATGCCCAGTTTGGAAGAAGACAGGAATTTGCAAACATTACTTGCTTACAATCATTCACTTTCATTCACTGGGAATTCAAATTTGTACCATTGATGTCAAATTACCATTCAAAGCTGGATCTTTTCCAGTTAGGTATAGAAGAAAGAGAGGATGACCAAAGAAGGCCACCTCTGCCCTGCAAGCCTGCTAAATGAGTAGTTCCTGTGTTACTTTTGATAGGTGAAATGTGACAATTATTTGGTGCCCAGTCAATTAAATATGGCAGTCATTTCATGGCATCAGGTGAAAATACTGAGGGAGAGTTAGGAGTTGGACTCATTAAGTCTGGTGGTGAAATCATTTGGTGAAGGTAATAAGAATTTGGAGGTGTAAATTAGCTGAATGACCAAATGATACATTTGGGTGATGAATCATTACTACTTTGTGATAGTCAACATTATTTGGCGGTGAATTAAATACTTACCAGTAAAAATTAACCCACATTTTAGGATAGGTTCTGTACTTGTCCTCACCCAAATTACAAGCTAATTTGTGAACTTATCTAAACTTCATCTTGACTCATTTTTCATTTACACCTACTTGTTCAATATGAATGTTCATTGCTTTCTTCCTCTGTAAAGGCACAAACAGATCACATCCTCTTGTTTTTCTTCATTAAAAGCTCAGACATTTTTGCCTAATGCCTGTAACAAAGGAATCAGTATTTTTTAAATCACCATCTTAATCTGAATAATTGAGTGTATGTTCTCCTTGCATAGATTACAACAGTACAACAATTTTATTGTTTCCCTCTACCAATTAATACATTTTTAAAGTTGAACAGAACTTTTCAAAATGCACCTCATCTGTCAATGTGAGGCAAGTAGATGACCTTCATGGAGAATGATCTGGAATATAGAACTAAACATCATCCTCTATTGCATAAAGGTACATTTTAGAACAGTAAAAACACAAGATGTAAGAGGTACAAACTTTGGCCCCTGCTGAAGTTCTTGATGCCATTGTTTGAAGCTCCACCTGTTGATGTCACTACATGTCCAATATCATGGAATCTGAAATGCACCATTCCCAAAAAAAAAGGTGACCAGATCAGAAGCATCAGACAGCAATGATTATCCATTGCCTTGCTGAGAATCCCACTAGATGTCATTGTTCTACAGGCCCTTGCATAACTTTTTGCTAGGGGGGTACAGCAATTATGGAGTATGAAAAAGATGAGTGTTTTACATATTTTAAAAGCTAATTTTGTTCTGATTTCAGATTAGTCATTAAAAATTTAAATGGCTGGGGTCATTTGTGATGATGAAAGGCAACTTGAGATAGACCGCATTCAAGCATACGTCTATCAAGAAGCAAGGGAAGCAGGTGCAACGTTTAACAATTGAATTATTAGTGAATTGCTCACCACTGCATTGCAGTGAGATTGAGTTACTGACAACTGGAACAAAGGATACGAATCTTGTTTAAACAAAATTTGGTAACGACAGACCCGAAAAATTGCACAAAGAGCAAAAACATTGTGATGGAGAACAGTGGAAAAAGACAACGAAAAAAAACTGCGGTCAAGTGACAAAAGACATTTCAAAGAGGTGTGGAAAGATTATTAATCCGTCAACAATACCGTATCAGGAAAGGAATGAAGGCTTTAATGATTTGTGAGCTTGGTTCTGACCAAAATTCTGAAGCAGTTGTCCTTCAAAACTTTCAAAATGTTATTTATGAACTGGAAAATGAAACATAACTTTTTGAAAATTTGTTGAAATTATACCCTTAACGTTTGAGGGTTGTGCATGAAGCCAATGACGGTCACACAAAATATTGATGCATTACTGTATTCAGGTTGAATAAAGCTTTAAGTTTATATATTACTTACATTTGTTCTATTTGTACTTAAGGTTGTACCCCCCTGGCAAAAGGTTATACAAGACCCTGTACTTGGAATTGGAAGGTGAAGGGTGCTTTCCAATGATATGTAATTTGTTTTCATCAAGGTATAGTAGTATGAACTATGAAAAGGAAGAGGAACGAACTAGCCCAGGGGCGTCCTTTCTTTTTTTTTAAGGTCTAATATGAAATTGACAGTAAGTGTAAGGCCTTTACACATGGAACCTGAACTGCATTTTTATAGTTGTATCAACATGTGAGATGCATTGACATTACCAAGGCTTTGGAATCCATGCATTTGAGCTACATTGCCTAAAAATTTGGATGTCACCCTGCAGTTTGCCTGTGCCAAGAACTACTCTGGACAGTGTATTTTCAAACCTCTGTCAGTATCCAGTATTGTTGAACAACACAAGCAAAGGTGTACTGTCAGATTTTGTATTAACTTGGGGAATAGTGCAATGGAAATGCGTAATACTGTCAAGAATCTCTAAGGCTTATGTTTGGCACAATATTTCACCTTATTTGCTCCTATTGCTCATGTATGCTGATTTGGGAGAAAACACTTTTTGACATTTATTCCTCCAGTTCTTGCAATATATGTGAGTGTTGTTTTCTTGTCTGTGGTGCTTCTAAATATGAATAATTTCCCTTCAGTAGCTTTGAACCTCTCCACCACCAGAATCATCTCATTTGTCTTTGCCCTTTCTGCTGCTGTAGGTGACAGATGCGATAGCATTCCGTGTGTATGGACATTGGGTGAAGCGTGGAGATACCCAGAACCGTGCTGCCCTCTTCGAGAACCACGCCAAGACTGAGATGAAGCACTTCATCATTCCCACTCCTGCAACATGACGTCGTCGCTTCCCAGTCGCTTAATTGTTTAGTAGAGAATGCAAAATAACTTGTTACTCTGGTCTCTGTTTCTTCCTATGCTTTCCATCTTGTGGTCGGCCGATCTCCCTGCGCTCTGGTCAATGTTCCCCCGTCCAAGTCTCCTGTTATTTATCGTGGATGTTCTGTTCTCCTCAAAATCCTGTCTGAGGACCGATCCAAGAAAAGAGGCATGCAACACTCGTATTGATTTATCTCATCCCAAACTTTTATCCTTCTTTTTTTTCCACTGGAGGTGTGCTTGATATTCTTTTATGCACAATGCTGGTATGCCTTAGTGATATTTGTACATGGTCCGGTGCAATCATGATCAATGAGCTGAATGTTGCTCACAAGAAGTTTTCTACCCTATCTTTTCTGCCCTCATTGTGAAAAGAATGCTCTGTGAGAAGTCTGACTGGTGGAATCCCAGAACTTCATTTTCAACACCCACAAGCAAATGCTATCAGTTGGTTGTTTTCTCTTGCACCTGTGGATAAAACTTCCAAGAATCTCTAAAGTATTGCCAATGCTCTAGTCATCCTCTGGCACTTCTGAGTTTGTGGGTCGTCTCACATTCACGAGAGGCTCTTGGTCCCCTCGGTTCGGCCTTGCATCTGTAGAATTGTTTTTGTCCATTTCAGGCTATTAATGTTCTTTTGCTGTTTAAGCAAGATACAATAATAAAAGTGGCCTTGTTGATCTTGCAAATACGTTTCCCTCTTGATGTCAACTGCAATGACTTTAAATTGGAGAGCGCATTTGTGGCAAGGATACCATTTAACTCTTTAATAATTCAACCGTCCACAACTAAGCGCCATCGACTGCAAAATACAAATTCCAAAAAGGTGTCAGGGATTCAGAAGCCCTGCCAGGCATGTCGTGCATACTTGTATAGCCCCACAAAATATGCGGGGGAAAATGCGCAACTCCAGAGTTCCCACGGAGCCGAAAGAGTTAAAGCGAATTCCTCTCCTAACTTTGTACCCATGCTGAGCGAATCAAGTTTTGTCACTATAGGGGAAAATATTTTTGAGGCTCTCCTATTAGTTTATTATCGCTACCGCGTCGATGAAGATCTCTGCAATTGTGAAATACAGCTAGGATGAACCTCATTAAATCCGAAGCTGAAAATATTAAGGCCGTAGGATGATAAACCGTATGTGAGAGCTTCTGGGTGAGAATTTCATTTCAACTTCATCGCCTTGGATCTGTTTAACCTATGTGTGTACATGGAAGACACCAGATGTGGAGAGTTGGTTTGACATTCTGTACAGGCTCGCAATGACGCAGTACCCCGGGTTACTCATACTTCATGGACTGAAGAGGAGGCCATGATGGGATCACGAGAAAGGCACGAAGGCCTAAGCACGTGTCCGGGTGGGCGGGCCTTATCCCGCCGATGACGTCATGGTTCTGTAAAACATAGTTCTCCTCCTCCAGCCACCTCCTTCCCTTTTCCATCCACATTGACCCTCTATTCGAAGCCTGGCAATTTAGTGCATTCTGAGAAAAGCGATTTAGGATGCATAAGTGAACTTGAAGGGGTGGAAAAGTACGACGAGTGGCGGGCGAGGAGGGAAACGTCGATAGCTCGCAGTCGCACATGCTTCTCCCAAGCGTGTGCGTCACGAGATGAGAGAGGGAAGGCCTCGCTTGTCTCATTCGGCGTCCTCGCGCTTTGCGGTCTACCCGTCACGTTTTACGCCGTTATTTCTGTTCCTCGTAGACTCTACTTTCTCTTTCGTGCCTTGTGCGGAAATTGGCGCGAGATTCATCGAGCGAGTTAATTGTAAATAGTTCCATGGTATTTTTGCCGCACGGTGGCGATAGTGCGGAGTGCGCCGGAATGCAGCTTCCGACACGGCTGTGAAAACTCTCGCCCGTCTTTGTGCGCGTGTGGACGAGCGTTAAGGGGAGAGTGTGCATTGCGCATGCGCCTACGGTCGAGGAGCACGTGGCTTGGCTCCGCCCCCTTCCCCCAACGATCCACATCCACTTCTCCTCCATCTTTCCCCCTCTTCCAGGCTTGGCGAGGCCTAGGACTGCAGTAGGTCCAGTTCGTGAAGGTGATACCGAGGATGAGCATCGAGACACTGCTGGAGGCGGCGGAGTACCTGGAGTACCGCTCCGAGGTCATGTTACGAGGTCAGTCGCCTCAGCCTTCTCTCTCGTTCTCGAAAGCGTGCGGTTTCAGGGATGGGACCGTTTCCGCAGGAATTGTGGGAAATACGGATCTGTCCAACGAAATTCGTTTGCGGTCTTTGTTTCCTTGCTTGAGGCCGGTACGTTTCGATCACGGCACGGAAATTCATGTTTGCATGACTCTTCTATCTAGTCAGGAATTCATGTTTATGGGTGCTTTTCGCGCAGGGGCGAGGGTGCGGGTAGAATAATCTGCTTCCACCGTTGTTTTCTGTGAAAACGTAAATGCAAAGCAGCACGCGGCCCCTGTTTATACTGCGTTGTGCTTTCACCGGCGTAGGAGCTGTCATTCCAGTTGGGCGCATATTTGATATTATGGAGCATGTGACCCGGGAAAGGATTCGTGGATCAAGCAGTGTTATGTCAGGGAAAGGCACGAGATGATGTGGAAGGCCCTGGGTGTGCTGGTGTCACATGCAGAAAGGAAGGGACGGGGCGAGGGAATGTGTGTGTATTGCTGCGCCATGAGCCTTGTTCTTTTTTTTTTCCTTCCATCCCTTGGGAGACTGTGTGTGTCGCATGCGACCCGCACATTTTTTTGAGGGGGCTTTGTAATTCGGCACCCGTTCCCGCCAAATTCGGGGTCTCACCAACAGGGCGCCAATCTCTAATTTAAAAAATACGTTTTCCTCTGAGGTCCATCTTCAAAGCAGAAATCGATTATAGCTATCGGGAATCATGAAACACCGCGTATGGTAGGGCTACCGTGGCAGAAATACAGTTGCAGCGTATTTCGAATTTGGCGAGAGATGACAAGGATATTAGTTCTTGCAGGCAAATTTTTTTTCCACTCTTGCGTGTGGTGAAGCGAACGATGGCCGAGGGACGATAAGTTTCATTCCCAGCCCTTGTTCGTCGAGCCGGGCAAATGTGTGTGTGCGTGACGGGGCGGGAGAGAGGGAAGCGCATTACCGGCGGCGGTAACGCGATGCTAGGGCATGCCAATCCGGTCGACACGCGTGGGCATGCTGCATGTGGCTCCTGCATGCACTCCGTGGCAGTCCGCGGAGGCAATGCGCATTACCTCTTGGCAAGCTCGTCGTACTGAAGCCGAGCCCTCCTCTCCACGAGATTTTCGCAGTCGGGAAGAACTATTCCCGGTATCGATTCACCATCTCCGGTGATGCAGGATATTATCGATGACTTGAACCAGCCCACCCCATAGAAGGGAAATTGAAGGGCCCTCGTGCACCGTGGCAACTATTGTAATAACGACCGGCTACACCTCTACGGGGGAGATCGCTCGTGAGTGAGAAACGGGGATCCCGCGTGGCGCGTGGTGGCATGGCATGGTAGGGCAGGGGCGGATTATTTGTAAACGCAAGGTGCGCGTGTGCACGAGGACGGGGACACCACGGCCATTGTGCGCATGCGCTCGAGGAGATTGGCCGCGCCTGCGTCTGTGGCGGCCACGAGAGTGCCCGTGTGTGTACCCCGCATTCATTGCTCGGCCCTCACCGAGTTCGGGCGTCGGAAATCACCAGCTGCCTACTCTCCTGTGATATCACACGAACATGCCCATCCCCCCCACTCCCGGTGCAATAGCCAGCTTCCTTTTCTAGCATTTCCTTCTTCCTTCCGCATCTAAGGGAAACTATGGTGCTGGATCACGAAAAGTGCGGTGCTACTTCGGAGCCTATGCAGGCACCTAAGAAGAAATGGATCGCCGATTATAACATGCGTCGTAATGGTGAGACTTGCGAGGCTTTCCACGATTCACATGCTTGAACTACGCGCTTTTGCACCTGGACCCTTAAAAAAAATGGGTGTACCTGATTTAACGGCTCGTGCCGGCAATGCGTCGATTGTTTTTGGTAACAAAGCATAAGTATCGGACAAATGGTCTCGATGCCGGCACCTTTATTTTAGGAGAAATTGATTCGATTGCCACGTAGAATACTCCCACGAGAGAAGGGCTGGAAAGCCGCAAGCCTCTCAAGGGCGGAGAGTTGTAATTGCATCGGGAGTGTAGGCGAAGGATCCGGCAACCGTGGTCGGCGTGCACGTGCCTCTTGCTCTTCCGTCTTCGCAACTCTTTGCTTCACGGTCATTTTTATTCCTTCCTCGTCTCCCTTTTTTTTCCGGTCCTCCACGGTTGCGCGATTCAGTGGCATCTACCCCTCTCTCTTCCCCCCCCCCCCCCCCCCCCCACCCCCCCCCCCNCCCCCCCCCCCCCCCCCCCCCCCCCCCCCCCCCCCCCCCCGGTAATCCAGCCTTGCTCTTCTTGGCTCGATAATGGAAAATCCGTTTTCGTGAATGCGTCGGTCTTTCATTTTGTTATGATCTTATGGAAGGATTGAACCATAATTCAGTCCATCTTTAGTTAGGTAATGGCCAGGTCAGAGTGGAGACGATTTTGGCTGCCAATTTTATTCTCCGATCTCTCCTTGGGAGACTATTGAGGTCTCCAGGGTAACACCAGCATTGCGTCATGTAATTACCTTCCCAATCGTAATCTCCTTTGGGAACTGGGGATGATGGTAGATCGGAAACGAAATAGATGCACCATAAAGGAGGTATAAAATCCTCTTGTCCCCTATCATCTACCCACCAAAAGACCTCGCATCTTTTTGGTATGTATGTCTGTAGGGTTATCAGGACGCATTACGGCTTCCCGGAAAAGGGAAGAGTCACGTGTCTCAATTTATACCATTATGGCTGCATGCATATTCCAATTCATTTGGTCATGGTCGTTGGTATTGCTAGCACATTCACCTCATCCTACTGCAAAACACATTCCCCACGTTGAGAAAATGACTTTAGAGGAAGACGAATGCTTATCGAACGTTCATATCTCTCATCGGGAGATGTCGGGGCCTACGGTGATGCATGCTCGAGTGCGACTACGTGGTACGAGACGAAGGAAAGGAGGAATCTGGCAACCGTGTACGGGTCCGCACATGGCAGGACGTGAGCGAGCGAAGGAGACGGAGGGCCGTAATATAATGGTAGTGTACCCCGGTGACTAACCAACCCAAGCCAGCGGTGTACTTTATACCTTGGCACGAGGAGTCAGATGAGGCATTCCATGCTCATGCGCCGCCTCGTCAGGGTCGTAAACTCGTGTTACGACCTGGAATGAGGTGAACAGAAATCCCTCCACCTCCCAACCTTGCATCGATTTCCCACCCCTGGCATTCACCCGAGTGAGCCCCTTCGCGATTTATTCATCCAACCAGACGAGGTCGCGGGATATGCGAGGAGTTCCGGCTGGAGGATATCTTAATAGTGGAAATTATACTTTGAGAATTCGTGAATGTTATGCATTTAGAAGTAGGTCTAAATGTGACATCTCGAGTCGTCCAATTCAGCACATCGACGTGAAGTCCTTTACAAGACGACCTCAGTCGTCTTGTAAAGGACTTCATGTCGCCAGTCGATCATCGATATTGTAACATGATTGAATCAAGGCATTCATGTGAATTGTTCGAGACCGAGTGTGATGTGTTTTTGTTGTTTTTCTATTTGTCAGGGGAGGAGCCAGAGGACTACGACACATTTTCCCTTCAACGGGCGGCGGTGCAGGCGAGCGGAGCGGCGACCCCCACCGACCAATGCAACAATGTCGCCCGTAATCACTGCCATCATTCCCCGACCCCAGGCTCCCCACCCCCGAGCCAGTATTCCTCAAAACCCGTCCCCATGGAAGACCCTTCCTCGGATGACGCCCACCAGATTCCGAATCATGCCGCCTTCCGCTTGGAAGACATCCAAGAGTCCCGGAGCAAATGGTGTCGAGGGTGAGTCGACTCGAGCCGCGTCGGGACGGGATGGGGTCTAGAGCTACTGGAGTGGAAATGTTCAAAAGAAAAATTAGTCGCGTCTTTTGTTTACTTAGTCCTTTGCCACGTGTTGTGAGGATGATAATAAATGAGAGTCTGGGAAAAACAGGACGTCGTTATCGCTGCTCAGTCCTTAAAATACCTGATGACCTTTAGATAGGTCTTCGTAGGTTCATCGGTACTGCACTTAACGCCGATAAGATATCCCGGAAGCAGCTGGAACGGGAGGCGGTAATTTCTCTCATCCTGAATAGGAGAGATAGTTAGAGAAGGGGAGAGGAGGAGGGAACACGTGGAAGCAGCGCTCCCTTCCCATTCCCAAGGTCACCCATAGGCGTTGAACTGTGTGACGTCATCGGCGCGGGATATCGATCAACCAATGGCGAGCTCCCCCTTTTTTCTCCGCATCGTCTGCTCCTCTCGCTCCCTCCGCTCCCTCGGCCACGTGGAGGGTCCCTGGATAGAGGGCTGCGCTGGTAAAGATTTAGGCAGTCAATACCCAGAGGCCTCTTGTTGACATCGCAGCACTTTACTCCTGCTTACTACTATTGAAACCCTGACAGCGTTTTGAAATGCAATTAGCATTACAATGAGAAAATTAGTGGTCGCTTCATTATGTGTAAGCATGCGGTAGTTCTCGTATTTCACCTTTATACTTATAAACCCGTATAGTGTTGAGAGCAGATGATTCCCAAAGCAAGTGCTCGAAATGGGCATTCCGGGTGAAAAGGTATGCAGGTGAAAGGCTCGCCCGTCTGCACACGTTTGCAGTGCCAGCGCTGTACGTAAAGGTGAGAGTTTAGTGCTCTAGCTGGCATGGGTGAACGATAGCGTATTGAGAGAGCGAGAGAGAGGGAGGGGGGAGGGTGGGATGCATTGCATAGCATCGCCAGGGCCAGCTTTTGGGGAGGAACTTGGCATAGGGCCAGGAATCGACCTGTCGCCTCGCCTCCTATTGCTCCTAAAGAATCCTTTCTGCACCAGGATGGAGCTCGGCCAGGGCAGGGCAAGAACGAGGAGAGCATCCCTAGCGCCAGAATGCCCTCTGACATGAGGCCGAGCTCAGACAAAAGTTGTTTTCCCGTAATAACAGAAAAATAAACCATGATGCCTTTGCATTCAATTCCAGTACTTTTTGCATGTCATTGATGCTGTAGTAACTTTGGAACTATTACTTTTTTTAGATGTTGAATGAGGAACTAGGTTCACGAGCATTTGCTTTCTCCTCTTGTAAAGGTCTGGGACGCGGGAAGTGCACAACAAGCTGGAGAAATACCGTCGGGCCCATCTAAAGGAATGTTTTGACTACCTGCGCAAACAGCTGCCCAACTTGACGGATCTGCGCAAGGTCCCTAACCTCACCGTACTCAAGTCGGCCTACAAGTACATTCAGGTGAGCTCCCGGGCCAGTGATGCCCGATCGCATGTACTCGAGACGCAATCGCATCGCCCCCGCGAGAGGGATTTCGTCAGAGGCCGATTCGCTGTTACTGTCACGCAACTAATCTCTCGAGGTCATTCGCACTCGGATCGTGCAACCCTGGCCTCGTATTTATCGAGAACCTTGGCAAGGGAAGCCGTGGAAATTGCCCGTATCCGTGCGTTGAAAGAGAAGAAGTGAAAGAAAGGATAGAAGAGAAGAGGAAATAGGATAGACGCTAGACGTCCACCCACATCCTCCCAGCCTGCGCAGTGGAAGTTAGGGGTAAAAATTGGGTCACGATGTTCCCTCGTGGTTATTTTTTTCTTCCTTTTTTTTTGCCATTAAGAATGTTCAAGCAGATTAGGTGCGAAGGGGGAGGGAGAGACAGAGTTGTTGGATCACTGAGAACGTCCGTTCCCCGAGGGCATTTCTCCTTTCCTGGGCCTGGGCACGTTCCAGCGCGTGGTCACCCTCGCCTTGGTCATGCTTTCCTTATCGTCGGGTCACGTTGCTGCGCCAGGGTTGCCCAATCCCAAGTTTCGAGGTCGAAGCTGAGTCACGGCTGCTTGTGCGGTTTCGCCATGGGAAAAACGTAGTTGGAGAGAGGAAATGGGGAAGCGTGACAGATGGACCCGAATAACGTTGGCGTTGGTCGATCGAGGAGGGAAAAAGGGAAAGGGAGTGTCTTGGGGTGTGTGTGGTCGGAGGATGTCGCCAGGGATTGGATCGGTCCCGTTGCAGGAGTGCAATCGATCCCCCTGTCCTTTCGCGTGCAAGACAACGTGTGGGAGGACACACATGATGTCTGGCACATTTATTCCTTTCACATTGATCGCATCTTTCTGCGCAGGCGTGTTACTCGCGAACCCCTTTCCATTTGCTTGGGGGGGGTGAGTGGCACGATGATGGCCATCATTCAGTGTTGCAGCTGATATTGCAAAAAAAAATTAATTCCGTCGGCCGCAGGTTTGAGAAAAAGAATACGCAGAATATATGCAGATTAGCTCGTGTTTGGAAGTGTCATTTCGCAAGAGATTTTAGCGACCATAAATAAAAACATATTTGTGATTACATATTTGAGAGTATGTAGACGCGCTGGTGGAGGACCATTCACATTTTGATCATGTAAAATAGCATCTCAATAGCGCGACGCAAAAGCAGAGGCGAGGACGTGGCCTTACACCGGAAATAGTATCTCTCTGTACCAGGGAGTTTGTGCAACAGGGCCACTAGCGCCTCGCCCCCGTCTGGCACCCACGGTCACGTTTCCAGCACATGATCGCTTCTCACCCATATACGAGGGGCGGAGGACACGTGGTCGGAACGCACGTGCACCCGAATCCTGCTCTGCGATTGGTCAAGCCTTGCCAGAAGCCCCGCCTACACTAACTTCCCATTCGTTGAGCAGCGCTTGACTCCTCCCTCTCCGTTGGGGGCGAGCCCTAGCCTCCCTCTCCCCCGTTTAACTCGTTAACGGTTGCATCACGATTCTTTCGTTCGCCTGTATTCCTCTTCTTGTCAATGCGCTTCAAGATTGCGTTACGACTTCAGAGAGTCCGTTGCCTGTCTCGCATTGCAACATCTATCCTCCGACTGCGACTTCGATCTTGTCCGCCATAAATCTTGACCAGGTTTCAAACCGGGAGAGGAACGCCTCTGACATGTTATTGACCGTCTTCTCGGCAGACATGCGTCGCATCGTCAGACCCCACTGCCTTGTATATTCAATGCCATGCATCCAAAGATTCATGCATGTTAACAGTGCGGGGCAGGGGTTGGGAACATTGAGGTGAACTCCTGACGTTTGCATTCGGTCGCTGGCTTGCTGTTACACCAAACGTCCCAAGAGATTTACCAGGGTCTCGCCTTTGCCAATTGTCACAACCGGAACAGTCTGAACTTAAAATTTGATTTAAATTTTATCTCTCTCAAAGTGCTGCTAGTTTGTCGCGTCAGCTTATGTCAAAATATTGAACTTTGTCCATTTCTTTCATCATCAAACAAGACTCAATGCATGCACTGTAATTATACGACTCCATATGAAGTGTGATTCAGACACAAGGGGGAAATGAATGGCAAGGCACATGAAGTTCCCTACTCTCATATTAGCTGAGTCTCCTATGTGTACTATCGGACGTCCTTCACGCTGACGAAAGAAGAAACCAGCTGGGAAATGCATGGAAGAATGCAGAATCTCATCATTCCTTAAATTCTCAGGCTTCTCTGCGTAGAATACCAGCAACTGACGAGTGCACGTCAGGTGTTCATCGTAAGAACCTCACTAGTATTTCTCTGATGGTTGATCATAGCTCCTACTACTGATGCCACTAGGAAATGATCACAGCGGGAAGGAAAAAATTCGCCCGCCATCCCAGCAGTGGTATCGCTGATTTCTGCCTAGTTCACTAGGGCACGTAGTTAGGAAAACACTACTGCGTGGTTCTTCCTCTCACCTCCGTGTTTGGGCTGCGTAAGAGCAACTTGTATTCCCCCTTTCAAATGAAACTATTATACAATTTTGGAACATGTTAAATAACGAACTTGATTATAATTGAGCAGTAATTAAACCTGAATCTATGTTTAGAATCAATATTTTAGCTGAGGCGTGGAACAGATTTTTATGTTTAGACTGGATTTTAGAAATTTTATACAGGTCAGGAACGATGATTCAGCTCGGACAAGAGGGACAAGACCTGAACCCGTGGACTTTTTGCGCCAAATAAGCCTAAGCCGTCCAACGAGGTCGAATGCAGGCGATGCGAGTCGCAGTGGCCTCGGGAAATGAAAAAGCGAAACGGGTTGTGTAGGTACCGTGCTCGTTCTCCAGGTTTTGAAGCGGAAAGAGAGAGAGTACGAGCATGAGATGGACCGCCTGGCGAGGGAGAAGATCGCGAACCAGCAGCGACTGGGAATGCTGAAGAAGGAGATCTCCCTCGCCCACCCGAACATCGACTGGGTGCGGCTGGAGGCGATCGGACGGGAGGCGCCGCCGCTCCCGCGACACCAGAACGCGGAGCACGACTCGAACACCTCCACTGCCTCGGGTGAGCCGGGTTCCCGGTTCGAGTGCATTTCGGAACGGGGCAGGGATTCACTTTTCGGACTTGCAGAGTGCGGGGACGCGGAAGAGGACTTCGAGTTCGAGGAGAACGGTGGGCTCGGCGTCGGGGAGAATCGGGTCCAACCGAGTTACTACTACGGTCAAGGAAAGAGTCAAAGTCACCCGTCGTCTCCTCCGAAGAGGCCCTACAATGTTCACTTGGACTCTTCCTCGGCCTCCAACTCCCCTCCCTATTCTTCCTCCTCTTCCTCTTCTTCCAAGGGTGCACCGACCGTCAAGGCCCCGAAACTCGATCCTTCCTCGCATTCCAGGTATCGATGCGATTCCAGTTAATTCCTCCCGGTCTCCTGCAATCAGACGGTCGGAAGAACGGGAATGTTCGTTTTCAGAAGCGTTGTGAGTGTCGTCGGACCCGCCATGGGAGTGGTTCCGCCGGCGACGGCGTTGGATCAGTCGTCGGCCGCCGCGACGGCTGCAGCGGAATCCCTGCTCAAGTTGAACCGCAGAGGCGATCACCAGTCCCCGACCGTGAAGTTAGAGACGGATGCGGTGAAGATGGAGGTGGATGCGTGCAAGAAGTCCTCGCCCCCGCCTGCACCCCCTGCCTCGGGGACTGGGAGCTCCCAGGATCCGTTCTTTTCCTCGTCCCTTCCCATTCCGCATTCGGTTCACCACCTCCAGACTCAAGTCCTGACCCCGGTGGGAAAGGTGAACTCCTCGCCCGGTATCCACCTGGTGTCTTCCCTGAAGCCGATGCCCCCCGTCCGGATCGCGGTCCCGGCCTCGGCCTCTACTCACATCCTCTCGTCCACCGCGTCGTCGCTGACGTCCGTTCCTCCTCCAATCGTTTCCACTCAATCTCAATCCGGTGAGTGCACTGGCCTTCTTCTTTCTTCTCGTCCTTCGACGCCGGGTGATGAGTCGTGTTCGCGATTGCAGTCAAGTCGTCTCTGAACCCGGCTCCGCTGAACCTGTCCCTGTCGAACGGCCACGCTCAATCCGGAGGCGCGGGGAACACCGTCTCGGCACACGCCACCTTCACCTCTCCGTCGTACATCGCGGTGAAGGCGACGCAGGGCTTGGGTTTGCCCGGGGTCAACGTGACGTTAGCGCCCGTTCTCGCCAAGGGTGTACCTCTCGTCATCCCACAGGGTACCATGGACTTCCTCAACGGCACAAAGCCCATCTTTGTTAACAGCAATACCCTTTCGACAGTTGGTATGTGAAATGGAATCATGAACGTCGCAATAAATGATAATTAAATGACGTGCCCATATTGCAGTTAAAATTACCTTGCACTATCAGAAAGTAATTGAAAAGCAACAGAAATGAATGTATCGGATCGATCGTCGGTAATGATAACATCGGTGTTCTGCAGAATTGAAAGCAGGAAGCAACGGGAAGAATTCCATCCAACCGGTGCTTCACGTGGCGACGGCCGGGTCGCCGTTTCCGAAAGGGGCCGTGGGGATCCCCGCGGCGCAGAAGCCAGACGGGACGAGGGCGGCCCACGGGGGAACGGGGACGTCCCTCCTCAGGGACGGGGTCGGAGGGAGCCCTGGGGGGCAGCAGCAGCCGCACGTGTCGAGGAGCATCCCCATTCCTCAGCTCGCACAAGTCTTCACTGCTTCTCCTGGTCATATTAAGAAGGTGATGGTGAAATTCTATCTGTAGTCGATGTTTATGAGGAAAAAAGAATGTGCACGATAATTTACGGACGACCGTCGAAATGTCAAAGGACACAAGTGTGATTCTTGAAACCATTATCAAAATGATGAAAGATTGGAGGCATGTGATGGCCTAATACTCTATAGTTGATGAATGGAATGCTCAGTGAAGATGAAATGAAACGAACCATTTGTCCCGATAGATGGTGGCATCCGGACATCCAATCCTGAAGCAGGTCCACCAGATCCCACTGATGGGAACACAATACGTGGCGGCGCAGTCGCTGGTGAAGCCGTTCGTGGTCGTTTCGGGGCCCGAGAACGGAGAAGGGAAGGAGAAGGCCGCGTCGTGATGGACTCGTTGGTGTCGTCCCGCCCGTTACTTAGAGCTTAGGTACCCGTAGGAGACACCAAAAGCATTCCTTCTGGATCTTTGCAATTTTTCGAACGGCTTCTCCCGAGTTCAGACCGGCGGGGAATGCGGTCTTCCGAAGTGTCGGTTTTCGCCGTCTGCCGAGCTCGAAGAGAACGAGTTCTCACGTGATCCTGCGAATCTGTCTCCCTCGTCCCTCCCGTTATTAAAAAAAATGTCTAGTCAAGTGAGATGCTTGAAAAAGTGCATGGTTGACGTGGTCCTTGTTGCCGTGTCTCTGGTTTCTCTCTGGTCCCAAATATTCAAGACCGGTAAGGCTTACTCTAAATTACCCCGAATTGGATACTTGTGACTGCTATGCAAATTCCCTTCGTCGTGCGGAGAGGAACCAGAGATGCAGATTCCTTCCTGGCATCCAGGAAGCTTTTTTTTTTCGTGTTTGACCGGGAAAGGAAAAGTTGTGATAATCCCAATATTGCCCCCAAAGTTCGTGTCTGGTTTTTTTTTGTCTGCATTATGCTCCCTCCCACAATTTTTTCATTCGTTTCCCTGCTTTCCCCCCCCCCCCCCCTCCCCCCAAAAACTTTATCCTTTCCTTCCTCTGTATAGAAGGGAATACTTGTTGGAAGAAAGTCTCTAAAGTGAATCTTGCCAGATCCTCATTCACCTTGACGCATTCACACAGATTCTTGTGACGTCTCTGATGGACTGAAGGAACTGCTGGTAGTTGAAACAATGATTTCACTGGTCAGTGACATGGAAATGCAATGCAAAGTATTTTAGTTTTTTTTTTTTAGGTTTTCTTTTTACACTTGAAGATTTATATGAGAATTACATGAAAATGGAGGCCAGGCAGCCTTCCGCAAAGGTTAAAAAAAAAAACAGCGTTGACAGAAACGTTGTGCTCTTTTTTTTTTAAAATTGTCTCATCAGAGCTGAAAAGGCTGGAAAGGTTCAGTTCGTGATTGGCCATTATGGGACCATGATCTGTATCTTCTTACAAGGAAGACTGTGTTTTTCCTGTGAAATAGTAGAGGTAGTTAAGTCCACTTAAAAAAAAAGTATGCTTTCAATTCCTGAACAAAGCATGGGGGGAAATTTTTTTCGTTCGTCCATGAAACGAAATTGCTCGGTCCATCTCTTGAATCCTTTTGGCGTCCAGTCCAGAGACGCTAGAACTCCCCACGGTGTTCGAATATGAATATAAAATTAGCGGCAAGTACCAACAGCACTAAATATTCTTTGGAATTTAGAATAGTGTAGGTAATCTGATGAAACTTTCCAGGAAGACTGCCCATTTAGTGAGGTGATATGTATAAGGTGGGCCAAAAATCCCTTTATATCCAATTATTTACAACATATAACCTAACTAGTTGAAGTACCCGGCGTTGCCCGGGGAAATTCAATACTTCATGCATGACAAATTGGAGAACGTTAAAATTATGGTTTCCTGTAAGTTACCGATCTTGGGTGGCGCAAAATGCGCACGGACCCCGGACCCCTTTCCCTTTTTTTAAATAATTTTTTTTTTTTAACGCTGAATTATTTCTAAATAATTTTGGAGTTAAAAAACTTATTGGTAAATTTTTTTAAAAGTCGTTTTGAAACATTTTCCATGAAAACTCGATCAGAAGAATATTACTTACTACCTACTGTAGTGATCCAGCAATGGGATTACCCCGGGGTACTATAATGCAGGTGGCCGGGAGGGGAGAGTTGGATGGCATGAGAGGACAAAAAAAGGCAGGGGAAGGCCGGGAATCGAACCCGGGCCTCGTGACCGGCGGTCAGGTGTGCTACCACTGCACCACCGAATCTAGGAGTCGGTCGTTCTCAATTCCATCCCAGACCCTACAGTACCCCAGGAGTGAAAATTTTTGGATGGAAACATAGCCCTCGACCTTGGATGAAAGAGGCCATTCAAAGTTTGGTTGCACTGGCTCCTGCGGGGTCCAAATGCATAAAGGAACAGACAGACAAACTTTCTTCTTTATGTATGTAGAGGTAAACTTTTATTAAACCAAAAAAAAAAAATAATTAGATCATAGGCCAGTGGGTCTGTGTGTTCATGTTCTAAGTTACTACTGAATTCTACGCCAGGTCTTCCTGCACATTCTTTTAATCATCTCCTCATCAATTGTGCATGAAGTTAAATGTAAATAATGAAGTCGAAATCGCTTTCATCTGCGGGGGACTGATCACTAACGATTGCAAACTGTTCTCCAGCAACATGGCTAATGCTTAACAAGCCTAAAAACGAACATGTCTTCAATTTCTTAACCCGTCAAGCTTGCCGCTTCCAAGCACGACGAAAACATGAACGTTACGGTTGTACAGGAAATTGTACCTAGCCACATCCTAAAGCATAGGCACTGCTAAAACGTCAGGTTTTCCACCAACAGATTTCGCCTCCGATACTCAATTGAACGAGTAAAAAATCTTTTCTTGCATGACGAGTGCGTATTCGGGACGCCGAAAAGGTGAATGAGAAAGCTTCCAGTGCAGATGCTGTTTTACTACTAATATTTTGATGGTGAGGAGGAAACGTCCTACGGCACGAAGTTGACCTTACGAAAGAAAGAAAACTTGCTTTTCGTACGTTAGTGACTTGGCGTTCGTCTCGTATTCGTTCGCCGTGAACGAGACGAAAGAACCCAATCTCCGGTTCGGGCATCCTGGAGGGTGGAAGACGGACCTAAGCATCTGGCAGCATTGTGGATCCAAAGAGCGAAGCGGGCAAGTTTCCGCATGAAGTCGAACGAAATGGAGCATAATTTCTTTTCGACTCTTGCTTAACGTACCGAGAGTGACGTCGGCAGGCGTCGAAGATGAGTTAGGGCCTCGATTTCCCTCTCGGCTTCGTCACGAGTTGCGGTGAGGAAAATGCAGGAAAACCGTATGAACGCAGCTTCGACTTTTGCCTTTTCCCCAGTGTCGATGAGTAGAACGGAAGACGGTTTGATGGTTCGGGCGAGGGAGAGAAGCTCGAGCCTCTCCCTTCCCCTCCGCGCGCCAGCGATGATCATCCTTTCTTTTTTGTGCAACACCTGCGTACGTGAGGACCGTCAGGTTTCGGCCCCGAGGAGACCGACTCGCGATCGTCGTCGAGCCTTATCACGGTGACGACGCGATCCGGTCTCGGGTGGATTCGAAGTCGAAGTCGAGACCGTGAAATTTCCCCGCCTCGTGGCTGCTCCTCCCGTTTTTTCTTCCGAACGCTTTTCGTCCGGTCACGGACGGGAGAGATTTCCCCGTTTTCCGGTCATGGCGGCGATCTTCCCGTTGGCCCGGGGTCGCCGGTCCTTCGAGGGGCGAAAAAATTTCATCACGGCCGTTCGGATCTTTCCAGACTAAAAATTTCCACCGTTTGAGGAAGCGATAAGAATAGAATGAGAACCACGGGGCATTTCATGGCACGTCCCCCGTTCCCTTCGCTTCTCGTATTTCCTCCACGTTTTCGCCGTCTCCTCGGATCCTCGGATTCTCCGTTCATCGATCGAGACGAAGTTTGAGGGAAAGGAGCGAGGATCTGGAGTCCTTCCCCTGCGCTCTTTAAAAATCGGTGGAAGGGTGAGAAAATGGAACGATCGGATTCAGTTAGCAGGCGTCAACGACGAGCTCCGTCGGACAACTGCGACGTTCCATGTCGTATGGAGCCAGTACTGCGAGGGGTCGCATATTTTCTTCGCCTTTTTAATTCTTCTATTATTTTATTTGTTTTTCTTTTAAAGGAGGCTTTGCTCACTTGAGACTTTGAACCGCTCGATGAGCCTTCTTCTGCCGAGTCAAAAGCGACACGACAGGGTGTCTCAAAAGATTGCGACCGAAGGCAGGTGGGTCGTTCCGACGGGCCGACGTGGACCTTCGCACCGGTACCGCAATGTCAAGGTCCAAGTGCGAAGGTCGAGCACACATCGATCGGTCGATCGATGTGCGTCCACGACCGACTCGTCCAGGCACCATCGCGCTTTTGTCGGATTACGAGAAGCTTAGGTAATGATTTCTGTTCCATACGAATCGAGGAGAGGTCGATGGTTGGAGCCGAGCATGCGTCTTCGAGGCCCTCGACACCGTTCGAGCGTCGCAGAGGTAGGACAGGTGCGACTCGAGTCCGACGGCCTCGCGGCTCCGCATCCGACATCCTTGAACGTTGCAGAAGGTATCTGGGGACATTATGATTGCTAATGAAAACGATCGGGGAACCATGCGTCATGAGCATCGACGAAATTCAAGTCAGCTACTCCATAGCTGAATATTGTTTACGAGCAGTAGTGTAGTCTGGGTTTGGCCAAAAAAAAGGGGTGGTGGGGTGGGAGACGCATTTTACATCTTTGTATTATAGATGTCACATCGAGTGCGACGGAGATGCGAACTTCGACGCAACCTTGATGAAGGTGTTGATGCATCGAGTAGAGGTCTCATTGGTCTCAACTAGGACACACGAAGCCTCGGAAGCCGCCCGAACGGCCTCCGAGGCCTCCAGTGGGAGCCACCGCTCTGCGATGGCCTCTCATACAATCACGGAATGAATCATGGCCGCGTCCTTGAAGTGTGAGGGCTGTGCGCCCCTTGTGTCGTGTCGCTTCCTTGTTCGGTGAGGCGATGGGCCGTAATGACAGGCAAGCTATAGGTTTCTCTCATGCATAGATAATACGTAGCCGGGAACTGGGGTCTCGCAAAGCTCTTATAATTGATCTTTTTTCAGGTCCATCGTAACCTGGGGAATATTGTAGCCAAGGCCTATGATACGGGAAATTCCATTTGACGATCTACTTCAAGGTCTACATACTATTATAACTTAACCTTAACCTATTATTTATTATGACTTAACCTTAGCTGATCGTAACGTTTCTTTGAACCTTCATTGCCTGTGTATTGCAGTTCTTGACTAAGACGTTGCGTTAAGCCCCGCATTGGTTGAATTGACGGTAACAGTGAGTACAGCCTGTAGTCCACTGACTTAGGCGATTGTCAACTCTGGGGTGTTGAGCCTAGCGTCCGGGAGATTCGGATTGAATCCAGAAACCTTCCGTTAGGCTTTGGCCTACATTTTTCAATAGAATTCGTTGGCATATATAGGCTCATGAGATGTAGTTGAAAGTTGGCTTCAAACGAATTTGTGACTGGTCTTAGCATAGACTCAATTTAGTCTTTTTGAAAAAGTATGCTGCTATTCATTCCTTGGGGATGCATATAGTAGGCATATTATTAGGCCTATTCCGCTTACAGTTGCCCATCAAACATAGTTAACCGTATGCAGTTTGTAGGGTTGCCCAGGTGACACAATATCCCTAGGGGGTACAGTCACCTGGGCAACCCCCCATGTGAAGATTTCATATATGACCATATAATGCAATACATATATGAACATATGTGAAACATGTATGGGGTTTGACACAAGTCACATAAAATCATATAAGAGTGAAAATATATTATCCCATACATTTTCATATATTGGCTTATACATATGCACCATATACTGTCCATATATGCCATGTCATACATATGTATGGTGAGATTACCCGAAACATGTCTGTATCAAAATAGGTTCCATAATCCATCAAATACTGTATGATCA